CAAACTTCAAGGAAGCTGAACACATTGATATGCTTAGATCACACTGAAGCAAGGAACAAATGGATCATGAATACTTGCTTGGCTAATGTACACTAGCTACTCTGAGTCAAAGACAAGGAATGTTAATTTACAAATACTTCAAATACTCTACCCCCTGGGGAAAGAAGATTTCTCCTTTAAGTTCCTTTAGTTTAAAGCTCCAGGTAACTTTTAATTTTCTACACCACCCTTGATTTAATGCTTTGATCATATTACAGAGCATGACTTACACAAAGCCCACATTTTTCATTCTCTCTGCCTTCCTAGCACATCTATCGCTATGGTTACTTTTGTTTGATGCTCACTGGGGTTTAATGTGCTCCCCTCCCCCCCCCAACCTCCCCGCTTAGGAAGCCATAAACCAGGAGTTGAGCGGGAAGGAGGAAGCTTATAACACATGATTAGGGTAAATAGCAACCATCCACTCACCAACACAACCATTGCCCTAAGTTTACTTTGGGGATACAGATGCTCCTGAAATCTTGTTTTCAATACAATGAATAGTTGCATGGATCTATCAAAAATAAAACCCAAACCAAATAAACCTCAAGAAGCTCATAAAATTATATTCTGAAAAACAATTGCTATATATAATTTATAGTTAGCTGTGCCTCGCATTTTCAGCAGACTATATTGTATGCTGTGTTTCACTGTCACTGTCACTGTCCTCCCATTGTTCATCGATTTGCTCGAGTGGGCCCAGTAACGAGCGGCCCCAGTAACGAGCAGGCCCAGTAACGAGTGGGCCCAGTAATGTCTCCATTGTGACAATTGTTACTGTGTTTGGCTTATCAAATACATCACGGGTAGCCTGCCAGGCTTTGCTGTGTGGGCGAGATACTCTTGGTAGCTTGCTGGGCTCTCCGAGAGGGGCAGAGGAATCGAACTCGGGTGGGCCATATTGCCCACTTGCAAGGCAAACGCCCTACCCGCTGTGCTATCGCTCCAGCCCATGCTGTGTGACAGATAGTGAAATCTATCATGACCCCTAAGACGTCTTTATGTTTGTAATCATCTATGTAGATATGAAAGAGAAGGAAATTTTGATAGTACCTGGGAATACAAAAATAATAAAAAGATATAATAATAAAAACTGGGCTGGAGTGATAGCACAGTGGGTAGGGCATTTGCCTTGCATGCGGCCAACCCAGGTTCGATTCCTCCACCCCTCTTGGAGAGCCTGGCAAGCTGCTGAGAGTATCTTGCCCACACGGCAAAGCCTGGAAAGCTACCCATGACATATTCGATATGCCAACAACAGTAACAACTAGTCTCACAATTTGTTGTGAGATGTTACTGGTGCTGCTCAAGCAAATCAATGAACAATGGGAGGACAGTGCAGTGTAGTGCCACAATAATAAACATTCTCTGAGTGTAATACTTTGTCAATTGTAAAAAGTTCTGAGGACAGGAATACAGGAGGGCAGAGAATAGTACAAAGGTAGGGCACTTGCCTTGCATGTGGCTAACCTATATTTTGTTTCCATCACTCAATATGGTCCCCCAAGAACTTCCAGGAGTAATCCCTGAATGCAGAGCTAGGAGTAAGCTCTGAACACAGCTCTCAGGTATGGCTCAAACAGAAAAAAAAAAAACTGAAAGCTGCCAAAATACAAGTATGCTCATTCATTCATTTCTGAAGAATAAGGTCTAAGTCTATTTTATGCATTCATTTTTTCCCCCCACTTCCAGAGCTGACCATGGAACCAGGCATGTTAATATGTTTATTAACAGAATTAACTAATGTTTGTACACAAACACAAGGCCTTTTAGGAACATAGAAGAGGGAAGACTTGGCATTCTGAGCAGAATAGAAGTGAATGGGTTGGTAGATAAAAGGGTCAGAGAATAGAAATTTATAGCAGACTCCTGAGTGTTCCTCCAATATTCCTCCTTTTATAATGACAGTTCACTTTGATTTCTTGCTGGGCACACTTACCAGCTCCCTTTAGTGGTAGGAGAGTCCTGCGACTAAGTTCTATTCAGTGGAGAGTGAGCAAAAGAGACGCTGTGACTGAAAGAGAAAAACAAATCATTTCCCCATAAAGCAAGGATTATTCTCCTAATCACTGGCTGGAATGGACACGGATGCCAGCCAGCTGGTGCTAAGCAGAGCATGGGAAACCCTCACGTGCAGCCTAAAATAGGAATGTGGGATCCTGATGGCTTTGAGGAGGAAAAAAGAGATTTATGTGAGAAAAAAGTGGTTTTATTGCAGAAAGGATGGAAAGATATGTCAATAGTCCAGAGCACAGGCTTCCCCTGTGGGAATCCTGGGTTCAATCCTCAGTACCCTTAGCACACAACCATTGAATCCTTTTGGGTGTGGCTCCCTGAGCCAACCACAACAAAAAGATGGCGTTGCTGAGACCAGTGGTCATTGCCGAGACCAGGGGTTTCTGTTGCAATGGCAATTACACATCCTAAGGTAAGCTTTATAGAGGTGTTGCAGTATATTTCCATGATTGAGTGGTTCACCGGGTGGACATAAGGGAAGAACTTTCTAGAACAACGTTTATAGAGGTGTTGAAGCTTGGAGGGTGGCTTTAGGATTGAGGTGGAACATCACAACAAAGTCAGTCAGACTGGCCCCTTGGACTTCATCCAGCAGAGCTGGTCACAAAGAAAGTGACAGATGCAATGGCTTGTCCAGGTAGCAAGCTAGCCTTGGACACCCTGAACAAAATCACATGCACCATGATAATCATGAGTTAGTACACAGAACAAAAGATAAACTTTAAAAATATGTAAGTTGAATCACCGTGAGATAGATCGTTACAAAACTGTTGGGTTTCGGTCATGCAGTGTTCAACATCCATCCCTCCACCAGTGGACATTTCCTACCACCAATGTCCCCAGTTTCCCTCCCACCCACCCCCAACTCCCATTCCTCCAGCTTGCCTTTGTAACAGACTTCCTCCTCCTCCTCCTCCTCCTCCTTCTCTTCCTCTTCCTCCTCCTCCTCCTTCTCTTACTCTTCCTCCTCCTCCTTCTCTCCCCACCTTCTTTCCTTTTGGGCATTGTGGTTTGCAATACGCCTACTGAAAAGGCTAAGTTGTATATCCAAAAGAAACTTTTGGCACAGTTGTGGGCATGAGGGACTGAGGGTTGTGAAGCAATAGCCAGTAGACTATGGGAGTGCTCTGCTCTCTTCTGCCAGGCATTGGGTGACATATGGGGTACTGCAGCCCCCATAAGTTTAAGCATATGCTCTCCTTCACAGGTCCTTTCCAATTAGGCCCGAGCATTCCCAAAGCTTGCTTTACCCACAGTCAGATCTTAGCATTTATAGGATGATCTCTCACAAAGATGATGCCAAGAAATGAAATTGTAAGGGCAGGAAGAGGCAGACTCAAGAGGCCACGCATGGTCTTACTTAACTGAAAGGTCTGCGTGCCTCAGTACTTGAGACTACTTTTTTTGCACAACAACCCTGATTTCCCAAATACAGCACTAGCAACAGAAAGACCCCCAAATCAAACCAAGAGCAAAGCGGGGAGGGGGGGGGGGGGGGGGGGGGGGGGGAGGGGGGGCGAGAGGGAACACTGAAATGCACCAGTCTAGGAATAAACCCAAGGTGTTTCTAGCCGTGCTCTCCAGTTGTGTTTCTTAGGCGAAAAGAGGTTGCAAAAAACGAAGCTATCCTATTGAAAGTCCTTCAGGAGGTGTATGGTTGGTCCCAGTCTATTCCATACCAGGGTGAATTCTGTCACTGCATACGAATCGAACCTTCGCTGTAACTTCATCTCTTTTTGCAGCAGCCACAGGAAGGGTTGGCGTCTTGACGAAGGTCTTTACAAACTTGCTTGGATAAGTCCACCCAAAGGGTTGTGATTGTCTTAAGTACGGCGCCTAGGAACAAAATTAAACCCTGAACCCGTTTCTTCAACTTGCACTGCCCTAGCTAAGCTGGGTGCTCGCAGGGGGCCACAATTCCCTCTTTTTAAATATTTTTTTAAATTTATTTTCTTTTTTCACGATCACCTAGGAGGTGTCCTGAAACTGGAGCTTCCTTGCGATTCTGGGGAGCTAGTGGGGCCTTGCCACACGGGAGTCCTTCGAGCAAGAGGCCCTCCAACGTGCAAGCCGGGCTGGCCCCGAGTCCCAGGAACACTTGGCGAGCAACCGGCGGCGCGAGCGTGGGCGGGCGCGGTCCGCGGGCGGGCGCTGGGCTGCGGGCGGCCCCCGTTGCCCTGGAGACCCGGAGCTGGGCGGGCGGACTGCGGGCGCCAGGGGAGCCCGAGCCCTCCGCCGCCGCCTGGCCCGACGCGCCGCCGCTCGCCGCCGCCGCTCGCCGCCGCCGCGTCTCGGAGCGCCCCGGAGCCGGATCGGAGCGGCGCCGCCGTGCGCTCAAGGGCCCGGGCGCCCGGGCGGGCCGAGCCCCGCACGGCCACCCCCCTGCCCCGAGCCGGGCCGGTGGGAGAGGCTGCGTTTGAAGCAAACGGCTGCCGCCGCGGCCGGCCGCGGCCGTGCATCCCCAGGGCGCTAGGGACCGAGCCCCCCACCCTGGGAGCGGCGACCGCGTCCCGGGGACCATCTGCCCGCTGGGGTAAAGGAGGGCTCGCGGGAGCCCGTGCAGGGACGCCCAGGGTGGGCAGGGGTAGCTGGTGCGGGTCTCTGCCCGAGGTGGGATGTTGGGAAAACTGCCCCTTGCAGACCTTGGAAAAGTCGCTCGGGAGCAATTCCCGGGGTCGTCTCTTGACCAAAGTTTTGCGCTTGATGAACGTTTTGTTGGAGGCTTGTCGGGTTCCAAGGAGGTTCCTAGCCCAAGAGATGACCTTATTTATAGAAGACAGAGATGGCCGAGCCCAAGAGATGTCCTTACAGTCACTAAGTCCCCCGTCCCAGGTATCCCAAATTAACCTCCTATCTCACCTCCCTCCTCTCCCCTCCTTTCTTTCTTCTTCTTCGCAGAGAGATGCTGAAGGGACAAGGAAAATCATCGCCTGGAATACCTGACTTGCAAATCAAGCTTGAGTTATAGGCCAGCGACCCCAAGGCCCCAAACATGCTCGCCTCCTCCCTAGACATGGAAACGGAGCCGTCCAGCGAAGACTACACGGACATCTGCACCCCGTTCGGTTCCCCGGCCCTGTCGGGTACCACCTCCACCAGCGAGAAGAGCACGTCCCCCGAAAAAACGGGCTATCCGGACTCGGTTTATATGATGGCAGCGAATGTGTTTCATGGTATCCGAGTGGAGAAGTCCCCGGACAGAACCCTGATCAATTACGGGGACCAGCCCCTGCCAGTCGTGTACCAGTCTGAGGATGAATGCATGCAGCGTCAGTCCTACGAGTTGGCTTTCAGTGCCCTGAAGTGTGAGTAGTAGCTGGAAGAATAGCGCCCAGAGCTAGTTAATGGGAAGGAGGGTGTCTGTGGGCGCAGTGCTCCAGCCCTTCTGGGTCTGTGCCCACGTCACCTTGGGTCAATCACAGATGTCAAGGACTTCAGAAAGGTGCTGTCCAACAAGCTCTTTCAGACCCAGAGTGTCTCCCATTGAACTGTGTCCTTAGCTCTGTGTCATGCACACCAGTTCAATTGATCTAGGAAGTCAGTTGATGAGGAATCTTTTTTGCATGGGAAGTCTGTCTCCAGTTTCCTGGTGGGTTTCTAGGGATTATTATCATGAGATGCCAGATGGAACCCAGGTTGGATGTGTAGAAAGCAATCATCTTTGTGTTTAGTAATTTAAAAAAAAAATTTAGGCACTGTGATTTACAACTGTGTCCATATGAGAGGCAGAGAAGTTCCAACACCAGTCCCACCACCAGTGTCAACTTCTCTGTACCAATGTCCTCAGCTTCCCTTCCCCAGACCCAGCCTGCTTCCTTAACAGGCATAATTTTTATTTTTAGCACAGCAGGTAGGGTGTTTGCCTTGCACGCAGCCGACCTGGCCAACCTAGGTTCAATTCCTCTGCCCCTCTCAGAGAGCCCGCTACTAAGAGTATGTCGCCCGCAGGACGAAGCCTGACAAGCTACCCCGATGTACTGGATATGCCAAACACAGTAACAAGTGTCACAATGGAGACGTTACTGGGAGAGCTCAAGCAAATCGATGAACAGTGACAAATATAGGAATATGGCTATTTTATTCAGCCACTAATTCAGCTGACTAGAGCTGGCATGAATTCCACATTACTTAAAAATTTTTTTTTATTGAATATCTGTGAGATAGACCATTATAAATGTTCATAATTGGGTTTTAGTCATGCAATGATCCAACACTCATCCCTCCACCAGTCTACATTTCCCACCATCAATGTCCCCATTTCCCTCCCACCATCCCCCAAAACCTCACCCCCAACCTGCCTCTATGGCAGGCACCTTTCTTCTTTCTCTCCTTTTTGTGCATTATGGTTTGCAATCTGGTTTGCAATATAGGCACTTAAAGGTCATCGTGTTTGTTCAGGGCATTCAGTATTTTTATTGGGAAGCTAAGGCTGGAGTAGCTTTTTAAATGGGTGGAGGCTTTGGAATGTGTATGTGACTGCCAGGGCTTCCAGAGGTACAGGGAGGTGGGGGGAGGTAGCCCATCCCAATACTGACTGAGGAAGAACAGGCACATTTTTGAGATGATTGTAATCTGGGTCTCATGCTTCCATATTGATGCCTCTGTGCTTTAGGTATATACACATATCACACCTCTTCACCACCAGTGTATCCCAGGCTCCCGTCCCAGGGACCCATTGTGGCATGTCTGTCTCCTCTTCGTGCCCTACTCCATCTCCTCCTCTTAGACCGTTCATTACTGTACTCAACCATCAAGGGCTTACTTCGCTTTGGTACCTTGCATTCCCTAAGGCAAAGCTCCGTTATGATGTACTAGCTCTCCAGCCTAGAAACGATTTTACTTCCCACCTTGACTCCTCTCCCCAAAGTTATTTTGTTTGTTTTTGGGCCACATTTGGTAGTGCTCAGGGCTTATTTCTGGCTCTGTGTTCAGGGAACCTTCCTGATGGGGCTCATATATGGTGGGTCTCTTGGCCATTTGCATGCAAGGCAAACACTCAACCCACTGTACTATCAATCCAATCCACAAAATACTTAAAATAATTATAAAGTAAGAAAGATTTCTTTCACAGGCAGAGCAGGAATCTGGAATTCTCTCATTTTTGGTTTCCTTCTCCCAGGTATTTCTTTGCTTTCTCTACTTTTACATCATGTTTTCTTATTCATGAACTTTCTCAACTATAGAACTATGGCAGGGTGGGTGGGAAGAGCTGAAGAAAAAGAAAATATGGATTCATCAAAATGAAATCAATGCCAGTGCGTGCCTAGCTAATTGCTTCAAGTTGGTGAGCTTGTCGATTTATTCCTCCAGAGGAGTTTGTCACCAGGGTTTGACTTGTAGTGTTTTCACATTCTCTCAGTAAGTGGCAAATGACCAACCTCAAATTAGACAGTTGACAACTAGGACAGAAGCAAATACAATTAAGGTAAAAGAAGTAAAAAGGCTTGAAGATGTTTGTTGCTGTACTGGCTATAAAGTATAATATAGTATGTTATAAATGATGACATTTAACTGCTGTACTGTCTTTCCAGTCTTCTCCAATTTAATCTTTTTAAGATTCTGTTTTAGGTGCTGAATCAGTAGTACAGTGGGTAGGGTGCTTGCCTTGCACGTGGCCAACCAGGGTTGAATCCCCAAACATCCCATGTTGTTCCCTTGAGCACCACCAAGAGTAATTCCTGAGCACAGAGCCAGGAGTGACCCCTGAGCATTGCCAGGTATGTGGCCCCCAAACAAACAATAACAACAACAAAAAGATTCTGTTTTATTTACTTACTTCCACTCCCTTTAAAAACTTGTGGTTTAAAGAACAACCAAAGGGTCAAGGAGTGTTTTAACATTTTTCTCCCTAAGACCCTGAAATAAGGTTTGGGCATTTATATTGATTAGTGGGGTTTTTTTTTGAGGTGTTCGGAATTGAACCTGGGGTTTCCATATTGTCTGGCCCTCTGAGCTGTCTCCCTGTCTCAGTTGGTTTCTAGTAATTGCCCCAAAAATCTCTTGCTATAAGACTTTTGTTCATTTTTAATGAATCTATTCTAAAATAAAATGACATTGCATGGTACAAATATTTTCTTCTTATAATATCTTGCTTTAAATTACCATGCAAATGTTCAAATAGAATAAAATCAGAATACCTAAACACAGTGGGGTTCCAAGAGCTTTAAAGATTTGGAGGCTCTTGTACATTTTACTTTCCTCTTCTGTATTATCAGTGTTCTAACAATACTGTAAACATCACACACAGTAGTTTCAGAGAATTGATGCTGGTGGGGCGAGAACCATTTGAATTTCTTCCTGAAGGTTTTATAGAAGAAGGAAAGCTGAAAAGGTTAATATACAGAGAGAACTTGGATAACAGTCCCTTTTATTGGCAAATTTGTGATTAGATCAATGGAATGAATTATCATTTTTTTTTACAAGGAGAAGGAAAAAAATGACAGAAAAGTCTTTTAAATGCATGGATGTAAAGTAGAGTCCTTTGGTGGTTTTATATTAGTTTTGTTGTTTGCTCCAGTGTTGGTGTCTTTTGTATATAAGTTCTTCCAAAGCAGAGTTTGTATTTATCTGATTAATCTTGTAAAGGTTTAAAGGATGCAGTATAATATCTTTTGAAATGGAGACTACCACTAGCCCCCCTTTAGTAAATAACCCCAAGATTAACTTTCTGATTAAGAAGGTAAGGAATTCCTAATCCTATTGAGTTTGCTTCTGTCATAGAAGGGGCTGGAGCCATGGCACAGCGGGTAGGGTTCTTGCCCTGCAAGCAGCCAGGATTCAGTCCTGGCACCCCAGATAGTCCCCTGAACCCAGGAGGAGTAAACCTTGAGCACAGAGCCAGGAGTAATCCCTGAGCATCTCCTGGTGTGGCCCCTGCCAAACAAAACAACAAACTAAAGAAACTCCAAAAGCAGAGTACTAGCAAATATTTATCTTGTTCTTTAAAAATATTAGTCAGGCACCGTGATCTCTAATAGAGTTTGATGTCTCAGGAATCCAGCTTGCGACTACCAGAGTATTAGCATCCGTCCACCGAAGTCCCTTTCCCCCACATCTCCTGACCAGTAAGCTCAGTCCTTTACGTTGACTCCCAGGGTCTGTCATTGTTGGCCATGATTTATTCCTGTACTTTGTTTCCTTATTTAGATCATTCTGTCTCTCCCCTCCCTGTACCCTGCTTTCACTCACCACCATACCCTCGGCTCCATGCAGGTTGCAGCCAATGCAAGATTGCCTCTCTTCTTAGCTACTTAACTTTCTCATAGGAAGAACCTTTTGATGGTGCCAGAAATAGTAAATATTAAAAAATTTAATATTTAAAAAGGGGTCAGGAGCTAGTACAGTGGTTGGAGTATGTGCCTTGATATGCCTTGATGCACTTGATGTGGGTTCTGTTCCTGGCACCACATGGTTCCCTGAGCATCACTGGGTGGAGCCCTGAGGTCACCGGGTTTGCACTGGCATTACATACTTGGGTTCTTGCATTGTGTCAACAGTCTCATTGGCCAAGGATAGCCAGTGGGGCACTATTTGGGAGGTCCAATGAAAAATAAAGGGACTGGGGCTGGAACAATAACACAGCGGGTAGGGTGTTTGCCTTGCATGTGGCTGAACCTGGATTCGATTCCCAGCATCCCATATGGTCCCCCGAGCACTGCCAGGAGTAATTCCTGAGTGCACGAGACAGGAGTAACCCCTGTGCATCAGTAGGTGTGACACAGAAAGAAAGAAAGAAAGAAAGAAAGAAAGAAAGAAAGAGAGAGAAAGAAAGAAAGAAAGAGAGAGAGTGGGAGGGAGGGAGGGAGGGAGGGAGGGAGAGAGGGAGGGAGGGAGGGAGGGAGGGAAGGAAGGGGCTGTAGAGATAATACAGTGGGTAGGACATGTGCCTTGTACGAGGTTAACCCAGTTCTGACTCTTGGCTCTGCACACGCTTCCTGGAGTCTCACCGGGAGTGATTCCTGAGCACAGAGCCAGAAGTAAGCCCTGCAAACAGCCAGGAGTGGTTCCCAAACAAAAAAAAAAAAAAAAAAAAAAAAAAAAGAAAAACTAGCAAATAAATTTCTGTAGAAATAGGTTTGTGAAAGTAAGTAGAGGTGAAAGAAAAGAAACCCTTGCAGTTGCTAATCTTACTCCTGACTCTTCTTCCTTTTTTTTTTTTTTGTTCTGAATGCGATTTATGAGATTACATAACCTTCTTACTGAGTCTAAACCTTTTTCAGGTAACAGTCATGGCAGAACACTTCCCTCTTGGCTGAACTCTTATTCTCCCGTCTCTTGGGTGTATATAAGCAGCTGGCGACCTTTGAATTCTGAGAACTGGCAGTGGCATTAATCCGGGCATTTCAGAACCATTAATTTGTCAATGCAGTCTCTCAACTCTCCCATTTTTAGTTTTTGTTCTTTCTCCTCCTTTTCTCTCCCTCTGGGGCTTGCCTATGGATCAGTTTGATTGTGATGATCAGGAGTGGGGGTCTCGAGAGGCCTCCCATCTGGGGTACACAGTGCGGTTGTGCCAGGGATTGAAGTTGGTACATGGACCTCTACTTGGTGATACAGGCCCTCTTCCCCCTAATTCTGTTTTTTTTTTTAAGTGATTTTGAGCTGTTTTACTCTAACGCTATAACAGTTTTGTATTTGATGATGCCAGTTACTCTTAGTCTTTGCCAAACAGATGTAAGTGACTACATCAAATTTCCCACCTTCCCCCCACCCCTGATGCCTGATTCTGGTCTCCGTACTGTACAGCTGTAGGGTTGCTTGGACACTCTTGAAGGAGGGTCTCTTAGAATTTCCTCCTTGGAGGGAAGCTCCGTGAAAAGATAATGGAGAACCTTGGGAGAGCCCAAAGGAAACCCAGATTGGGCATCTGAAAACAGTGCTGCTCCTTTGTACCTGGTGTGAGAACCGGGTGAGAAGCTGTATGCGACCTTGCCAGGACTTCTCTCCCAGATGCCTTCCTTTCCCAGGAATCCAGGGTGCACCCCGGCCCTGGTGTGCAGGCATGCTTCAGGCATGTGGCTGCCACAGGAGGGGACGGGGAAGAGAGATGGAGGGGTGAAGGAAGGAATGGGGAGAGAAAGAGGGTAGAACAGTGTCAGCCTTCTCCCACTTTCTCAAGTCAGTGCACTTTTTCCATTGTTTTGCCTCTCCTGTTTCTTAGGAACTCAGTGCCTCTGATGCTCAGGGTCCTATAGCCAATGCAGGCCTGCAGTCTTGGAAGTCCTTCATTCTTAAAATGACTGTATGTTCTGTGACACAGATTTTAAGTCCTGCTGAGGAACTCTGGAGTAGATGGGATGACTTATGAGATCTGAAGAGGGAAAAATGTGGTTGTCCTTATAAGTGAAATGGCGACTTGTACAGTGCAACTATAATTGGCGAATGAAATGTGAATAACGATTCCCAAAGACTTCCTGATACAGTCTCGATTAGTTCTTAGTTTTCCCATCCCTCAGATAAAATCTGAAATTCAGTGAATTCATAGTTTTCCCATCCCTCAGATAAAATCTGAAATTCAGTGAATTCAGTGTTTCCCGTGAATATGGCAGTTTTTTTGAAGGTCCACTACATCAAAGCTCGCCTAATTTTCTGTTCAATTGGTTGCAGCATTTCTTATATGTGTGATTACATAGAGTCACACAGGTTACATTTATAGACACATGTATTTACTTAGGTAGCTAGAGCAGAAAGAAACCTTATGTATTGTGTGTGTGTGTGTGTGTGTGTGTGTGTGTTTTAATAGGGGCCACACCTGGTGCTGCAGGTCTATTCTGGCTCAATGCAGGGGTGAGAGGGTATAGAATTAAGAACTAATTCTAGGGGCTGGAGCGATAGCACAGTGGGTAGGGCGTTTCCCTTGCACGCGGCAGACCCGGGTTCAATTTCCAGCATCCCATATGGCCCCCTGAGCACCACCAGGAATGATTCCTGAGTGCATGAACCAGGAGTGACCCCTGAGCATTGCCAGGTGTGACCCAAAAAGAAAAAAAAGAACTAATTTTAATTCTAAACAGATCCCACCAGAGAAGAAAGGAAGATGATCATGTCTCATGTGTTCATTGGGTCATTACAACCCCGACAGCAATGCTGACGAAGATATGACAATAAAGGGAGATTGCAGAATATCCCTCAGGAACATAGACATGGATGTCCTAAGTAAAATTGCTTCTCTCTCTAGCTATTGAGTTTGTGGTTCCTGGGATCGAACCCAGGGCCTCAGACAGGTGAGGCCCAAGTGCTGCTGACGAGTGACATGCCCAGGACCCCCTACATAAAATTCTAGCAGATCAATTACAAGCAGTATAAAAAAGGATGCACGTATTACGAATTAGATCCTTTTTCATGTTTTCCAAAGGTCATCCATTACTGTTGGAAATCCTTTATTAAGACTGAGTCAGTTCAGATGATACTCCTTTGCCTAAAGAGTCTGGGTCCTAAAGGCTGCAAACATTATCGAGATTTCTTTTTTGTTTTGTTTTGTTTTGTGCCGCACCTAGCTGTGCCACACCTACTTGTGTTCAGGGCTTTCTCCTGGCTCTGTGCTCAGGGATCATTCCTAACAGTGCTCAGGAGATAATATAGGGGGCTGGGGACTTGCATGCAAGGCAAGTGCCCTACTGCTCGGGGTCCGACATTACCAATATTTCACTGTGTCACTATCATTTACATTGGTATTAGGAATTGAGGCATTTCCTTAGATGTTAAAGTCAGACCACTTGATGGCATTGTCTAAATGTGTTCTGAATTCAGAGTTTCATTTTTAGCTTTGGTATTTTCTGTTAAAGTTTGATATTGTCAATAAGTTTGGTGTTTTGAACAAATGAGGCACTTTCCTTGTTTTCCAGATCAAGATATTTTGGAAACTATATTAATAGACAGCTGTATTTTCCCAACTACCAGAATAGTAAGTAGACAACATTGATATAATTAGTTTTCTCATAACTGTTATTTAGAAAGTATTTTTAAAAGCCTCTAGATTTCAATAATTAACTAGCTTGCTTAATGCTAGCACTTCAAAAATACATACCAAAAGCTCTCCCACTCCGAACATTTCTAGTACTGACACTTCTACCTTCATTTAAAAAAAATGATCATAGCAAAAAAATGTCTTTTGAAATGTTCAGTTTTTACGGTATTGATTTTTTTGAAGTCCTTCCCTATCTCCCAGTTTAACCAGATTATGTGCTTAGTCATGTCCCTGCTCTCTTGTGAAAATGGATGGAATGGAAGATTCTGCTGTTCGACATTGTGTACTTTTCTTTGTTTCCTGTGGTAGCCAGACCAGTTGAATAGTCTTATTATTGTGATGCTGTATGATTTCCAAGAAAGAAAGTTTCAACCCCGTCTCCTTTCTGATAATGAAGAGGCCATCGGGGAGGTCCAAGAAATAGAGCTCTTTCTTAACAGGTAATTGTAAACGTGAAAAGGATGTTGTATAAAGGGAATGCCCTGCCACAGAGGCAGGGTGGGATGGCGGGCATGGGGGGTGGGAGGGATACTGGGACCCGTGGTGGTGGAAAATGGGCACTGGTGGAGGGATGGGTACTTGATCATTGTATAACTGAAACCCAAGCACAAAAATTTGTAAGTCTACAACTGTACCTCATGGTGTTTCACTAATAAAAATTAAAAAAAAAGAAATATTAAATGAAAAAAAATAAAGGATGTTGTATATAAAATTATTAGGATTTTCATTGGTATAGCCTTTGTTTTAGCATCTGTTCATAGTACAAAATTTTTAGATAAAAATATATAAAAATTTCTAGGTTTTTTTTTTTCCCTCTTACACATAGTCTTGAAGAGTTAGATAAGCCATTGAATATCACAATTAGTTTTGGGGACTTTTTTGTTTTGTTTTGTTTTGATGCTCAGGACTTACTCCTGGCTCTGTGCTCGTAATTACTCCTGGCAGTGCTCAGGAGACCGTATGGGATGTAGGGGATGGATCCCAGGTTAGCTGCGTGCAAGGACTTACTCACTGTTCTACCTCTATGGCCCTATTTTCTGAACTTTTAAATTGTAAGATCCAGAATCAACAATCTTGTTCTGGACGCATTAGTCACCCAAAATGCATTTTGTTTTCTGTCTCAGTTTTAAGACAAAGTTGGCGGCAGCATTGGCAAGATGTCGAATCAAACACGATGCCCTCTCAATCTACCACATTCTTCCAGAAACAGTTAGGAACCAGGAGCTAAGGGCCTCCACTTTGCCACTTTATGCTTGGATAAATACTGGCAAAATCAGGTAAGAGTTTGAAGCAGATTTTTCATATGTATTTCAAGTTGCTTTGAAATCTAGCAACTTGCCTTGTGAAATAGCCTTGAAATAACGTGATAAGAAATAGCACCTTTTTTTGCAGGGGGGAGAGGTTGGGAAGGGAGACAGGTGTTCCTAAGTAGTGCTCAGGGGGCCTGGGGGCCACTGACAGGCATGCTCAGCCAGAAGGGCCAGATGGTTCAGTGTTAGGGCCTGGGCCACCAGGATCATTAAGCAGTACTTAGGGGGCATCAAGGGCCACATGGTGGCACTTGAGTGAGGGACGCCTGTGGTGCAGAATTTTGAACTTGGGTCTCAGCACATACTTTGTGCTCCAACCACTGAGCTATCCCCTCAGGCGGAAAGACCACCTTTTAAACTTGTTTTGTTTTTGTTCTGGGGCCTCACCCTGTGACACTCAGGATTACTCCTGACTCTGCACTCAGGGATCACTCCTGGTGGTGCTCAGGGGACTATATGGGGTGCCTGGGCTCAAGCCTGGGTCAGCCACGTGCAAGCAGACATCCTACATTCTGTACTATCTCTCCGGCCCACCTTTTAAACTTTTAATTGTGGGGGGTGGCAAGGGAGAGCACATGTCGGGGAGTAGTTGGGGAGTCCACATAGTTTAGTTTAGAATCTTAATATCCTATTACTGAACATGAGCACCTAAATAATAGCTTTTTCTGTTCATAATTGCCGTTTAACTTATTGTTGACTAAGATGATGTTCCATTTGTATGCAATGAAGAGTTTTATGTACTGTAGAAGACAACATTAGTGTTAAGTGCATTTCAGCGTTTTTCAGTGCACTATGCTTAAAGTCATAACAATATTGTATTTTTACAGCCTTGAAGAAGTTTATGAGTCTCTGAAGAAGCAGGGCTATAATAAAGTCAAATCTGTACTGCATATGGCAGATAAAGTTTTTGCTGTGGATCAGCACTGCTATGATGTTTTACTTTTTCCATCTCATCTTAAAAGCGACCTTCTAAATATAGACCTGTTCAAAGATTACAAAGTTGTATTTCAGGTGAAATGGCATTTGATTTCATTGAGACTCTCAAGACAGGTCTTACCCCCAAATCCCTCCATTTAAAAATAAAAACCTTAAGGGATGGAGATAGCTCTCATCTTTGCATGTGGGAGCCCTGGATGTGATCCTCAGCACCACAGGGTCCCCTGAGTACCCCCAGGAGTGGCCCATGAACTCAGAGAAGGAGTAGACACAAACACCACCAAGTGTGACCCCAAAACAACCCACCCCTCCTAAAACCAAGGCAATCATATATATTTTTTTGACTTTCCAGCAATGCACAGGGGTCACTCCTGGCTCTGAGCTCAGGAATTACCCCCGGCGGTGCTCAGGGGACCATATGGGACACTAGGAATAGAACCCGGGTCGGCCGCGTGCAAGGCAAATGCCCTACGCGCTGTGTTATCGCTCCAGCCCCAAAATCAATGTTGTTGTTATTATTATTATTATTTTGCTTTTTGGGTCACACCTGGGGATGCACAGGGGTTACTCCTGGCTCTGCACTCAGGAGTTACTCCTGGTGGTGCTCAGGGGACCATATGGGATGCTGGGAATCGAACCCGGGTTGGCCGCGTGCAAGGCAAACGCCCTACCTGCTGTGCTATCACTCCAGCCCCTGCCAATCATATTTTTTATAGATCAGTAAAGAGGCCTAATTTTCATAGGCCCATAACTTTTATAGGCCTAACTTTTCCCTTGAATAAAATTAATAAAGTGTTTCTATTATTCTTTGGCATTTTTGTCTGGTGTGAAGCCATAAAGAGTACAGACTTCTCCCTGGACTTCACTGATGGGGGATTTGTGTTGTTGGCATCTAAAAGGCTGTAGTTTTTTCTCTTTCCCAAGGGAGGATTCAAGAGAAGTTTACAATATGACTTTACTTCCTTTTATACTGCATTTGTAAATGCACTGCACAGTACTCTCACATTATCTCTCTGTAGATAATGTGTCACAGAGGGCCTGAGAGACTATGCGTTGGGTGCTTGCCTTGCACACAGCTCACCTGGGTTTGATTCCCACCCCACCACATGGTCCCCTGAGGCCACCCGTAGTGATCCCCTGAGTGCAGAGCCAGGACTTACACCTGAGCACCGCCAGCTTTGACCAGACTTCTCCCCCAAACAAAGAAACAAACCAAAACCAAAAAAAAAAAATGTGTCACAGCTTTATAAGTGAGTGGCAGGACTAGCAATATGGGAAGAGAATATGAGGGAGAGTGGTTTCAGCCTAAAGAAAAATAAAGGGTCCCCAAATTTAGCTAAAATAATCTTTATACCCTTAGATTCCAATTTTTGCTTCAAATGCACCCTGGTCTTTACCCCTGCATTACATTTTATTCTTGGGTAGAATTTCTTACAATGAAAACGAATCAGGCAATAAGATCAATCATAAAAACCCACTTTGTCTGCCCCCTCCTTTAAAAGGTTGTCAGTCATCTTATATTTTTGTTTTGTTTGGAGGTCACACCCTGCAGTGCTCAGGGATGTTGCTGGTGCTTAGGGGTAATCATATGTGGGATGGAATCCAGGTTTGCCGATACAAGGAAAGCACCCTACTCACTGTAATATAGCTCTGATCCCAAGCCATCTTACTTCTGTTTATATATTGGTTTGGGTTTGGGGACTCACACCTAGAAATGCTCCAGAGATAGTCCTGGTTCTTTGCTCAAGCTTGACCCCTGGTGGTGGCAGGGAATCAAACCAGAACTGATGGCATGCAGGGCAAGCAAGGACTTTAAGCTACGTCTCTGGGCTTCTTACTTTTAATTTCTGTGAAGTAGCACTAATTTAGAGAACAGTGTAAAATAAGGAAGAAGGACACTAGAAGATAAGTGGGTTTCTGTAAAGAGCTCTTAAGAATGGAAGCTAAGACAGGGTATCATTAAGGACATTACAGTTTGGGGATTTGGGGCATTGTCTTATAATAAACCTTAAATGATAGTGTTTTGGCTCTCTGGCACCTTGGTCCTTTGCGCATGGCCAAGAGTGACCCATGAGCCGAGAACCAGGAGTAAGCCCTGAGCACAGTCAGGTGTGGCCCCAACCTCCCCTGCACCAAGTGAAAATTGTATGATAAGAATCCTACTTTAGGCTGAACAAAATTAGGGTCTTAGTTTTAAATCAGATAATATGTCATCTTTGTCATCAGATGATATGCAATGTCATATTTTAATATATAGTAAGATGTTTGAAACTGAAATAGATTAGGTATCATTTATGCCAAGTACTTTCATTTGCTTAAGGCATAAAGAAGTTCAAGTGTCTAGTGAAGCTGTGTGAAATTCTAATCATACCATTGTCTTACAGGATAAATCTCGAAGTCTTGCGGTCCATTCTGTAAAGGCTTTATTAAATATGGATGATGATATTTTAATGGTCAATACAGGCTCGTGGTACACAGTTGCCCATTTGGCAGTCTTAACAAGTAATAATACCTCAAAAATATTTGTTTGTGGAGTACAATCACAAGCTAAGGATCCTGACCTGAAAAGCCTTTTCACAAAAATGGGATGTAAAAGTATGTACAAATATTTATTTGCTTAGTGATTAATGTTTTGTAAGATTCAGAAATGCTAATAATCTTTGAATTTTTTAATATATATATATAATGTAAACCTTTCTGTGAGCTATATTATCCTTTGTTTTGTTTTGTTTTGTTTTGTTTGGGGGCCACAACCAGCAGTGCTGAAGGCTCATGCCTGACTCTGTGCTCAGGGATCTGGCAGTACTTGGGGACCATATGCATGCCCAGGTTGACCATGTGCAAGGCATGGACTTATCCTTCTGCTCTAGCTTTCTGGCCCCTGTGAGCTATGTTCTTTTTTAAAAAAGTTTTTTTAATTGAATCACGTGAGATATAGTTACAAAGCAGTCAAGTTTGATTTTCGGTCATACAGTGATCTAAAATCCATCCCTCCACCAGTGCACATTTTCCACCACCAGTGTCCCCAGTATCTGCCCCCCACCACATCCCAACCCTCCCCCTGCCTCTCTGGCAGACAACTTCCCCCCATACTCTCTCTATACTTTTGGGCATTATGGTTTGCAATATAGATACTGAGAGGCTATCACATTTGGTTGTTTATCGACTATGAGCTATATTTTTAAAATTCTCACTTACGTTATATCAGGTTGCTCTTTCTTCTTCATATTGGTTACACAGCTTCAGCTTAATGAACATATTAGCACTTTTGGTGCATTGTCTGAGGTTTAGCTACCATATAATTATTAGAATAGCAAATAGTAAACATTTAAAGTACAAATTTGTACCATGTAATATTGTTTGAAGTTCAGGCAATAATTAAAGTAGGTGCTAGAAATAATCCTTTAATATACATGAACATAATCCACAGGAAGGCTTAAAGAAAGAAGCTAGGATTAGAAATGAAGTCCCCCAGGTTCTTATTGGAAACAGATTTTACCAGAGCTCAGGAGATGGAGTAAAGGCTTAAGTGCAAGCTTTGTATGTGGATACCTGGGGTTTGATCCCCAGCACTGCCTGGTCCCCTGAGCACTGCCTAGAGGGAACCTCCAAAGAATTGAATTGGGACTAGTCCTCACCTGGCCCCAAATCAAAACAATAAATAAAGTCAAATGTATGTTACCGTTGCCAGCCGTGTGCTAGACAAGTGCATTAATCCCTGGTACTATCTCTTCAGTCTTCTGGAAATTACAATTTTGTGAAAGTCAAACAGTTTTACAGTTGAAAAGTAGAAAACATGGAATTTAGAAATATGTAGATTTAAGACTTACTACACAGAATTAAAGAATATGGGAACTGATAAGCAAGAAAATACTCAAAGTATGCAGCCTGCGGGGGTAGCTCAGAGAGGTTGGAAACCCGAAGTTTGGTCTCTGACTCCATGTGGCCCTCTGAACACAGCCAGAAGTAGTCCTAGCAACTCCAGACACTGTTGGGTGTGGCCCTGAGCGCTATTAATGTTTACTTGACTTCCTCAGACAAGCAAAATCTGAGAGCTTGTCATTGGAAGAATAATAAAGAGATGCTGGAGTGATAGTACAGTGGGTAGCACATTTGCCTTGCACGCTGCTGACCTGGGTTTGATCCTGGCATCCCATATGCTCCCCTGAGCATTGCCAGGTATGGCCCAAAAAAACACTAAAAAAAGAAGAAATGAAAGGCTATTGTTTGAGTTAAAAAATTATTACTTCATTTGGAAATTTGTAGATGTTAGAAAAAAAAATGAATCATAGGAAGAAGTACATAGGTAACTATAAATATGTAAATGCAATGTAATGTCTTATAGAATCATAAACTAATATCTTGTTTTAAAATGCACACTTAACTAAAATAACTAAAGTAACAACAATGGCGTAGCTATAGTTACACATTCTCTTATTCATTGGTTGCTGTAGCACAAACTACTACTGACTTAATGTTTTACTTTATGGATTGGAGAGATAGTACAGGAGGTGAAGCACTTGCCTTGCACACTTCCACCCAGCTCAAACCCCCAGTACCACATATGATGCTCCAAGCACTGCCAGGAGTGATCCCTGAGCATAGAGCCAGGAGTAGCTCCTGAACCAAGTTGTAGTATCAATCCAGCCCCATCCCTAATTTTTCTAAATTAAAGTGCTATGCATGATACCCTGCCAGCAACAGTATTTGAACCACAGTACCTAGAAGGGAAAAAGAAAAAGAAAAAAGTGCCTACTATGGAGGCAGGCTGGGCAGCAGGAGGGACACTGGGGACATTGGTAGAGAGAAGTGGACACTGGATTGATGTTGAAATGTTGTACACCTGAAACTCAATCGTGAGTAATTATGTAATTGTAAATCACAGAAATTCAATTTAAAAATTTTAAATAAAGTTGTGTGTAAAAATTTTTTAGAAAGGGTCCTGGAATGATAGTACAGCAGGTAGGGGATTGCCTGACACACAGCCAATCCAGGTTCAATCCCTGGCACCCCATATGATCCCCCAAACCCCACTACAAGTGATCCTTGAGCACAGAGCCAGGAGTAAGTCCTGAGCATTGCTGGGTGTGTCCCCAAAGCCAGAAAATGTTTTTTTTTATGGAAAAATAATGTTATTTTAATTGTTTTATGTGCAAAGCAGGATAGTTAGAGAATGCAAATTTGACTTAATTAAAAAATGTAAGGATCAACTAATAGATGTAGAAATTTGACAAAACTTAACATTTGCTTATGATATGTATGCAACAAACATAATACTTGATGGAATATTGAAAGTTTTATTTCTGACATTAGGAATAAGATAAGTATGCTGTCTACCACTATTAATAATCTCTGATATACTGGGAGTCATAGGTGATAGAGTAAGGAAAGAAGAAATAAAATAGAGACCAGAAAGGAAGAAGTCAAATTTTAATTTCTGACATATTTAAGTGGAAATTAAAAAAAAAATCTAACAAAATTACATATGGAACACAGGACTTTTGCAAGATTGGTATCTAGAAATAGCTTCAGCATGAGAGTTCTAATAACAAAAATCTGAAATGAAGTTTTGAAAGCAGATATCAAGGTCAGGGAGATAGTTCCAGGGGCTTGTGTGTATACTTTGCATACTGAGGCCCAGATTCAGTTCCTTGGGATAGCATGGTTTCCTGAACACTGAGCTAGCAGTGATGCCTGAGCACTGAGCTGGGAGTAGCCCCTGACTACCACTGCTGAGTGTGGCCTCCAAACAAAAAAATTAGTAAAATCATATTTTTATAGTAGTACTAAAATACTTGGCAGTATTTAATTTAAAAAAAGTGTTTTAAAAATAGCACAGCGGGTAGGGCGTTCGCCTTACAAGCGGCCAACATGGCTGACCCGAGTTCGATTCCTCCGCCCCTCTTGGAGAGCCCGGCAAGCTACCGAGAGTATTCGATATGCCAGACACAGTAACAACAAAGTCTCCAATGGAGACGTTACTGGGCCCGCTCGAGGAAATCGACGATCAACGGGAGGGCCTTTACCTTTACCTTTACCTTTTAAAAAGTATCTCTTCATAAAACTGGGTGACATTAGTGAAGGACAAAAAGACCCAAGTAAGTGGAAAAATAGACCTCGTTTGTGAACTGAAAAACCGTTGTAGAGATAATGTTTTTTTCCGAGTTGATTTGTATAGATTTAATTCACCCACGTGACACTGCAGAGTATTAAGGAAGAGATGGCCTTTTCTAGAAATAACGAGGGGGGAAAGGTGGAACTCCTATTTCACAGTACTCACATAAATCCAGCATCTCTTAGAATATGCCAGAGGACAGGAGTTGGAGAGATAGTACAGTGGGTCAGTTACTTGCCTTATATACACCTGACCTTGGGTCCATCCCTTGCACCATAGATGTTCCACTGGGCACTGCCAGGAGTGATCCTTGAGCACAGAGCCAGGAATAAATGCTGAGCGCAGCTGAGTGTGATCCCGAATAAACAGTAATAGTAATAATACTGTGGGGGTAGTGGACATGGGTCTAGATATAGGTGTAACCAGACTGGACGTGAGTAGTTCATTGTTGAAGTTCAGCGATGTTCCATGAAGTTTAAAAAGGTTAACTTTTTCAAAATGGTTAAAAATAAGGGGACGATAATAATGTCCTACATAAAAAAAAGTTCTAAACAGGGGACTGGAGGGACAGTACCAGAGTTAAGGCACTTCCCATGTATAGCAACACCCCTGCTTTGAATCCCTGGCATCGATTATGATCTCCAGAGCACAGCCTGAGGTCACTCCTGAGCACAGAGCTATGAGTGCCAGGAGTAGTAAGTAGCTCCACAATAAAATCTCCAACAACAACAGTCTAAAGAGAATAGTAGCATGTGCATTTGATCCTGGAGGAAGGGGTGTGTGTGTGGGGGGGGCTCCTCAGCAGGCTCTGAGCCGGGTGTAGGGGGAGGGTTAGTCTGAATGCGGGGAGTTAGAATTGGAGACAGGTTGAATATTTTCCATGAAATTACACATTCTCCCAGCGACCTTCTAGGATGCAAATATGTTACTGATTCTTTTTCCCCCCTTGAGTACACAGACTATGAAAGGGGTTTAAAACAGGAAAGGAAAATAACCAATAGGGATCATTTATTATTTGCTAGACACCAGCCTTGACTGACCTCCTCCAGCTCCATCTCCACCGCAGTTAGACCAGGTACATGTTATTGTTCCATTTTATGAATAAAAAAAATGGAGGGATAGAGGGATTAGTACACAGCAAGTAAGTAGTAAAGTCGGGAGTCACACTTGGGTATTGCTGCCTCTAAAGCCCTTTCTCTCGACTATATCACCTTGCTTTAGATGGAACTGGAAGTTCTGAATGAAACATTCAAATCACACTTCACATAGGAGATATTTCCCTTTCAAATCTGTTCTTGTAAGTGAAGGAGAAAGAGTTTGCATGTGACCCAGCTAATTCACTTCTTGGCTTCTACCCTCCAAACACAAGAATATCAATTTGAAAAGATATATGCATACCTGTGTTCATTGCAGCAGCACTAGCCCATCAGCCAGGATAGGGAAAAAGCTACCCAAATTTTCAACCACTGAAGAATGGAGGAAGTAGTCGTGGTAGATATACACAATAGAATATTATACAGCTGTGGGAAAAAGAGAGATGAATTCAAGTGGTTTGCTGCAACATATGATGGGTTTCATGTTAAGCAAAATAAGTCAGACGGAGAAGAAAATGCCAGCTGGTCTCATTCATCTGTGCAGTGGAAAAAAACATGGGAACAAATAACATGTAATGGCAAACCTTTGGCCTTGGATAAAAAACTGATTAACAGAGGAGAAAAAAAGCTCCAACTAGAGGTGAAATATAGTGGCAGAATGTTTTAGGCACTTGGTGGTGGTGGAATGCAGTAACTTTGTACATGAGTATCATGAACAGTAATACTATTGTAACTATGTTACTGTAACTATGATTTCAATCTTTTTGTTATTGTTGTCAAAAAAAAAAGAATGCTCCATTAAGAGAATTCATGTACTAACTTTGGGAAATTAGAAGAACAGGCCTCATTTCTGACTACATTAAAATGACTTGTGGGGTTGAAGATTGGAAGTGAACAATGAAATATAATTACATACTGCATTAACCTTTTAATTAATGTTCCACGTTGTTTTTCTATGCTTCTTGTCCCAGACATTGAAATACTTCGTGAGGCCTTTCTTAAGATCGAATCAAAGGATTTCAGATTACAGAAGGTGAAAGTGATCCTGCTGCTTCCTCGATGTTCTGGGCTGGGCGTCAGTAATCCAGTAGAATTCATTTTAAGTGAGCATGAAGGTACATTAACTTAAAAGGTGTCTAAAACATGCAATTTATTGATAGCTGCTTAAAAACTAGAATTAGGGCAAGTTACTGAAATGACCTCTCAGGACTGAGAAACAGCTCCAAGGGCTGGGGCAACTCCTGGTTCTGTCGTGGCTCTGCATGGTCCCTGAGAGCAGCATCCCTCCCCTCCCCCGACTCCCCCCCCCCCCCCCCCGGGGCTCGGATCCTGGCTGAGGTCCAAAGCAGAAATGCATAAAATGAGACATCAAATTAATATAATTAATGAAGAGCGCCCATGTAGAAACTCTTACGTATAAAGTACACCCACTACCTCATTTCATTCTTTGTAATCTTCTGAAATATGGGCAAGGAGATATTAAAAATTGGAATCTCTGATGAGGGAATTCTAATAATCAAAATATTTGAGGGAAGCCAGGATAGATATGACCAGCCTATCATTCTGGCGTAAAACCCAAGAGACAGACATTACAATTGGCCAGCATTTTATAGATAAAAAAACAGACTCCGAAAGAGCTGGCTTTCAGATTTCAATCAATCTTATCCTAGAGTCTGTGCTCTGAGATGACCTTCATTCAGTCATCAGAGGACAACTTTTAACCCAAGAATTCTTTAATCCCCAGTCTATATTTTCATGCTACAAATGCCTTATTAAATATCAATGGACATATATATGAATATATATTACATATAGGAACATATAATATAGGGTATATTATATATGATATAGAATATGTTAATATAGGAATTTTAATACCTCTGAAAGGATTATTTTGTGATAGCATTTTTATACCTTTATTAAGTCATTAGTTTAGTTACACTCAATACTCCATCACCAGTCCCACCACCAGTGCACTTTCCCATCATATTTCCAAATTTCACAACCACCCCTTGAGCCTGCCCCCATAGCAGACTCTCAGTAATTTATTTTGCTTGTTATAGCTAATTTGCTAAAAGGATGATCAAAAAATATTCCCTTAGAAGAAAGTTAGTTAAGGTTGTTGTATCTCACCATGGAGCCCATAAAGCCCTTGCATAAGAGATTACTAAGATGTCGTTACAGGTTAAGCCTTCTGTGTTTATATTTTGTTAATCGAGATTGATTGCCTTCTACACTACATCCCATCCAATCTGGTGTGCTATTTGTGGTTTATCGTGTTACAGAGCTTGAGAAGTGACTTCTCAAAAACTCCAAATTTTTAATGGGTGATACAGCTAGAATTAAAATTTTAACTGGGTGGTAGCTTTGGGGCATGTGCATGACTGATGGGCTTCTGGAAATACAGAGAGATGGGGAGAGATAGCCCATCCCCGACCCTGTGAAAGCTGTAGATTTCAGTCACAAAACCCACGTACTTGACTTTTTCAACAAATTAATTTCTGGATGACGTTTGCCTGAGCAGTGGGGTCCTGCCGGGAGTGTGATGGCGATTGTGGAGAGTGGAGGGTTTTGGCTGCTGGGGCTGTTTGAGCAGGTACGGGGCTTGCCTGACCCTCCAGGTTGCCCTGGGACTACTCAGCCTTGTGTGGGATCCAGGAGAAATTCTGCCACTTATTGATCTCTTTTGAGATTTATTTCTGAGTCTCTGGATCCTGGTCGGTGAGTGAGCTTACATGGCACTGGAGAAAGTAGCATTTACTGAGTGCATCGGACACTGCACTAAGCACGTTGTTTGGTGTAAAAGGTAAAGGTAAAGGTAAAGGCCCTCCCGTTGATCGTCGATTTGCTCGAGCGGGCCCAGTAACGTCTCCATTGGAGACTTTGTTGTTACTGTGTCTGGCATATCAAATACTCTCGGTAGCTTGCCGGGCTCTCCGAGAGGGGCGGAGGAATCGAACTCGGGTCGGCCATGTTGGCCGCGTGTAAGGCGAACGCCCTACCCGCTGTGCTATCGCTCCAATTCTCCCAGAATTCAGCTTCTTTTACCCTCCACTTTATAAGTTTGGAGTCACCTGAGGCTCAAAAAATTCCTAGAATTTTTGACTAGACTAGTATCATGAAACAATGCATTTAAAATAAGTATCATTCACTATATCTTAATATTAAACAATACACTGAACTCCCGTTGTTCATCAATTTGCTCGAGCGGGCCAGTAATGTCTCCATTTTTTTGAGACTTGTTGTTACTGTGTTTGGCATATCAAATACATCACGGGCAGCTTGCCAGGCCTTGCCGTGGGGGCGAGATACTCTCGGTAGCTTGCCGGGCTCTCGGAGAGGGGTGGAGGAATCTAACCCACCTCTGCCAGGCTGGTTGTGCGCAAGGCAAACACCCTACCGCTGTGCTATCGCTCCAGCCCCAAGTAATATCTTAATATTATTGTGTTTAAATCAGTAAAATTTTAAAAATTTCTTTTCAGACTATCTTTCTTTCTTTTTTTTTTTGGCCCTGAGTGGCAATTTGGACCACATCCAGCAGTGTTCAGGGCTTACTCCTGGCTCAGGGGTCACTCCTGGTGGTGCTTGGGGGACTGACCATATACAGTGCCAAGGATCGAACTGGGATGGGCAGAGAGAAAGGGAAGCTTTAACCCCTGTCCTGTCCTCTCCAGCTTCAGAGTTTGTTGATTTTGAAGACAAACATTTAGTTCCTACGTTAATTTTTGTATGTCTTTTGGTAAGTTGATATTTTTAATGGCATCCTTCTGGCTGAATTCTAGAAAGGCCGAATTCTGCCTTGAATATAAGTCTAGCTTCTCCCCTCAGTTAGTCCCCCACTGAGACAGCATCCTGGCTTCTTACCTAAAAGGCATTATCTGTCTGGTTGGGAGACTGGTCTTAGAGAAAAAAGAAGAGGACAATATGCAGACTAAACAAAATGTAACTAAAATACATAAAACTAAAATAAAACTAAACCTTTAGTCAAAACAAAGATTAATGTAGCATTTTATGATACTGTTTCATTTAAACAAATATTTTATACAGAATTCTTATTAATAGGGAGAGTTATTAAAAGTTAAATGACATGATAATAGCAATGTTGAAATAGCAGTCACCTAACTGTGATCTATTTTAAAATATTTGCTTTTAGATACAGATTTACTTAAAGATCTCTCTCAAGGAGGCATATCAGAAGATAAACTTCGTGCTCTCTGCCAGCAGCAGTATGAGCAGCTAACACATGCCATGACGTGTAAGTTTGTCATCAGCACCATCTCGAAATGTGTTGTAAATCTCAGAAACATTAATTTTTTTTTAAATTTTGATCAGGCAATGAGGTATGAACCATCAAGAATTTTTCTAGAACAGGGGTTGGCGAGATAGAACCGCAGGTAGGGTGCTTGCCTTGCACGTGGCTGACCTGGGTTCGATCCCCAGTATCCCATAAGGTCTTCAGAGCCCCATCAGGACTGATCCTTGAGTTCAGATCCAAGAGTAGTAAATTCTGAGTACTGCTGGGTGTGAGCCCCCCACCCCCAAACCAAACAAACAAAAAATGAATTTTCCAGAACAATCTTTTCATTTTCATTTCATTTCATCATCCTGTTAATCGTCGATTGCCTCGAGCAGGCCCCAGTAACGTCTCTTTCATCCTAGCCCTGAGATTATATTCAGGGCTCTTTAGGAGAATGAGACCCATCATTGTTACTGGTATTTGGCATATTTGGTAGGCCACGGGGAGTTTGCCAGACTCTGCCCTGTGGGCAGGCTACATTCGACAGCCTGCAAGTTTGTCCAAAGTAGGAATGAGATAGTAAGATGTCGCGCGGCCGCGAATGCGGCCGCGCGGTTCCAGGATCTGGATTTTATAGTCTCTGAGTCTTGGCCGCTGATGGGATTACACGGCGCCAGGGGGCCAGGTGGTGGGTGTGACCCCCGCCTACTGGAATTTGGAGGATCTGGGTGGAAGATGCTCGACTCCAATTCGAGTAGGCTTGGAGGTCTCGGCCCCGGAACCCGCGTGGCTTTGTCCCTCTGCCAGTACCTTCAGGTGTGCGGAGAGTGGTCTCAGCATGGTGGTGGCTGGTCCTGGAGGTCTCCGGCTGCCGTAGCCCTGGCCGGGGCGGGGAGGAAAGCTCAACCCGCTCCCCTCCAAGGGACTCCGGGAAGGAACATCCGAGGCGCGGGGGCAGAGACTGCACTGCTCTCGTCCGGGATCTGGATTTTATAGTCTCTGAGTCTTGGCCGCTGATGGGATTACACGGCGCCAGGGGGCCAGGTGGTGGGTGTGACCCCCGCCTACTGGAATTTGGAGGATCTGGGTGGAAGATGCTCGACTCCAATTCGAGTAGGCTTGGAGGTCTCGGCCCCGGAACCCGCGTGGCTTTGTCCCTCTGCCAGTACCTTCAGGTGTGCGGAGAGTGGTCTCAGCATGGTGGTGGCTGGTCCTGGAGGTCTCCGGCTGCCGTAGCCCTGGCCGGGGCGGGGAGGAAAGCTCAACCCGCTCCCCTCCAAGGGACTCCGGGAAGGAACATCCGAGGCGCGGGGGCAGAGACTGCACTGCTCTCGTCCGGGATCTGGATTTTATAGTCTCTGAGTCTTGGCCGCTGATGGGATTACACGGCGCCAGGGGGCCAGGTGGTGGGTGTGACCCCCGCCTACTGGAATTTGGAGGATCTGGGTGGAAGATGCTCGACTCCAATTCGAGTAGGCTTGGAGGTCTCGGCCCCGGAACCCGCGTGGCTTTGTCCCTCTGCCAGTACCTTCAGGTGTGCGGAGAGTGGTCTCAGCATGGTGGTGGCTGGTCCTGGAGGTCTCCGGCTGCCGTAGCCCTGGCCGGGGCGGGGAGGAAAGCTCAACCCGCTCCCCTCCAAGGGACTCCGGGAAGGAACATCCGAGGCGCGGGGGCAGAGACTGCACTGCTCTCGTCCGGGATCTGGATTTTATAGTCTCTGAGTCTTGGCCGCTGATGGGATTACACGGCGCCAGGGGGCCAGGTGGTGGGTGTGACCCCCGCCTACTGGAATTTGGAGGATCTGGGTGGAAGATGCTCGACTCCAATTCGAGTAGGCTTGGAGGTCTCGGCCCCGGAACCCGCGTGGCTTTGTCCCTCTGCCAGTACCTTCAGGTGTGCGGAGAGTGGTCTCAGCATGGTGGTGGCTGGTCCTGGAGGTCTCCGGCTGCCGTAGCCCTGGCCGGGGCGGGGAGGAAAGCTCAACCCGCTCCCCTCCAAGGGACTCCGGGAAGGAACATCCGAGGCGCGGGGGCAGAGACTGCACTGCTCTCGTCCGGGATCTGGATTTTATAGTCTCTGAGTCTTGGCCGCTGATGGGATTACACGGCGCCAGGGGGCCAGGTGGTGGGTGTGACCCCCGCCTACTGGAATTTGGAGGATCTGGGTGGAAGATGCTCGACTCCAATTCGAGTAGGCTTGGAGGTCTCGGCCCCGGAACCCGCGTGGCTTTGTCCCTCTGCCAGTACCTTCAGGTGTGCGGAGAGTGGTCTCAGCATGGTGGTGGCTGGTCCTGGAGGTCTCCGGCTGCCGTAGCCCTGGCCGGGGCGGGGAGGAAAGCTCAACCCGCTCCCCTCCAAGGGACTCCGGGAAGGAACATCCGAGGCGCGGGGGCAGAGACTGCACTGCTCTCGTCCGGGATCTGGATTTTATAGTCTCTGAGTCTTGGCCGCTGATGGGATTACACGGCGCCAGGGGGCCAGGTGGTGGGTGTGACCCCCGCCTACTGGAATTTGGAGGATCTGGGTGGAAGATGCTCGACTCCAATTCGAGTAGGCTTGGAGGTCTCGGCCCCGGAACCCGCGTGGCTTTGTCCCTCTGCCAGTACCTTCAGGTGTGCGGAGAGTGGTCTCAGCATGGTGGTGGCTGGTCCTGGAGGTCTCCGGCTGCCGTAGCCCTGGCCGGGGCGGGGAGGAAAGCTCAACCCGCTCCCCTCCAAGGGACTCCGGGAAGGAACATCCGAGGCGCGGGGGCAGAGACTGCACTGCTCTCGTCCGGGATCTGGATTTTATAGTCTCTGAGTCTTGGCCGCTGATGGGATTACACGGCGCCAGGGGGCCAGGTGGTGGGTGTGACCCCCGCCTACTGGAATTTGGAGGATCTGGGTGGAAGATGCTCGACTCCAATTCGAGTAGGCTTGGAGGTCTCGGCCCCGGAACCCGCGTGGCTTTGTCCCTCTGCCAGTACCTTCAGGTGTGCGGAGAGTGGTCTCAGCATGGTGGTGGCTGGTCCTGGAGGTCTCCGGCTGCCGTAGCCCTGGCCGGGGCGGGGAGGAAAGCTCAACCCGCTCCCCTCCAAGGGACTCCGGGAAGGAACATCCGAGGCGCGGGGGCAGAGACTGCACTGCTCTCGTCCGGGATCTGGATTTTATAGTCTCTGAGTCTTGGCCGCTGATGGGATTACACGGCGCCAGGGGGCCAGGTGGTGGGTGTGACCCCCGCCTACTGGAATTTGGAGGATCTGGGTGGAAGATGCTCGACTCCAATTCGAGTAGGCTTGGAGGTCTCGGCCCCGGAACCCGCGTGGCTTTGTCCCTCTGCCAGTACCTTCAGGTGTGCGGAGAGTGGTCTCAGCATGGTGGTGGCTGGTCCTGGAGGTCTCCGGCTGCCGTAGCCCTGGCCGGGGCGGGGAGGAAAGCTCAACCCGCTCCCCTCCAAGGGACTCCGGGAAGGAACATCCGAGGCGCGGGGGCAGAGACTGCACTGCTCTCGTCCGGGATCTGGATTTTATAGTCTCTGAGTCTTGGCCGCTGATGGGATTACACGGCGCCTCGGATGTTCCTTCCCGGAGTCCCTTGGAGGGGAGCGGGTTGAGCTTTCCTCCCCGCCCCGGCCAGGGCTACGGCAGCCGGAGACCTCCAGAACAATCTTAGAGCCTTCAAATATGTGTGTATGTGTGTGTGTGTGTGTGTGTGTGTGTGTGTGTGTATACAGTCTGTAAATATATAGTACCTATATATATTTACAGGCTCTATTTTGTTTTTTGGTTATATGTTGTCTCTCTCTCTACCTGATGGCTACTTTGGGAACTCTGCGGTACTGGGGATGGTACTAGGGTCAGCCACATGCGAAAAAGAACTTAGCTCCAGTCTGAAACCTCAGTCTATATTCTAACAGTTTAATCTCCATCTTTTAAATTATTCTTTACTATTATTTTTAACATAGATTAGTAGGCAGAATTAGCAATTTCTTAAAGCTGAAGTGAAATAATTGTGTGTATCTTTATTGTGAAGTTTCACCTTCTCTTTTTCTTTGCCTTCTTGATAAGGCTTTTTTAGCGGGGGTGGGGGGGGTCAGGGGGGTAGTTCTCCCAAATGGTGCTCAAGAGGCCCAGGATCCCACTGGCAATTCTCGGCCAGCTGGGCTTGCAGTTAGATGTGAGGGCCAGAAGATGCACTGCTGCTCAGGCCCTGTGCTGGAGGTACCTGGGCTATCCAACTGGTGCGGGGGCAGGGCAGGGCAGGAGAGGGGTGTCTCCAGGGCTGCACCTGGAGATGCTCAATGTTCAGGGGCCAAGTGGTTCTGGCAATTGCACCTCTATACCTAGCATGCACCATAACTGCTCTGCTGTCTCTTAGGCACCTTGATATATTTTCTTGTTCTTCTGGGACCATATTCAGTGGTGCTTGACTTACTCCAGATGGTATTTGGGGAACTGACTAGATGTGGTATGATGGATTGAACTGGGGTCTATCACACTTTAGACAATTGGCTTAACTCCGTTGTATCTCTCCAGCTCTCTGATAAAAGTTTCATCTTGTCATTATCCTGCACATAAATATTCTGTTACCCAAATTTTAATCAAATCCTTTAAAAAATTCCTTAGTGCCAAATATGGGCTGAAGTGATGGCACCGCGGGTAGGGCGTTTGCCTTGCGAGTGGCCGACCCTGGTTCCATTCCTCTGTCCCTCTTGGAGAGCTCAGCAAGCTACCAAGAGTATCCCACCCTCATGCAGAGCCTGGCAAGCTCCCCGTGGCGTGTTCGATATGCCAAAAACAGTAACAACAAGTCTCACAAATGGAGATGTTACTGGTGCCCTCTCGAGCAAATTGATGAACAGACAAACATAATGCAGTGCTGAACAGAGAACAGAGAAATGCAATTACAGATAAAGTCGAGATTTCTTGAGTTCAAATGTGAATGACAAAGTTCTTCCAGGATTCATATTATTTGCTTCGATCTCTAATTTAGAATCAGCACCATTTGGAGTCTAAGCAGCAGTGCCCTTCCATAATGGATGTGGAGATCTAGACGTCTCTGGCAGATTATCAGAACTCTTGCTAGTTCTGTGCCTGTTTATTTAATACCAATCCTGAGTCAGGCGTTAAGTTCGATGCAAAGGATATGTGAGTGAATACTCCTGACCTCCACAGGCTCAGGCGAGGGGGAAGTGAGGCCAAGTTCAGAGCACAGAGGAGCTCTGCCCTTTCAGTTGCTACAACTAATAAACATTAGTTTGGACCCTATCTGATGTACCTGATCACTGATCTCAACTGGGTGAAAGATTCGGAAGGCTGATAAATAACACATTTGGCTACGTTCTCCATTTCAAATATGTCTTGTTTCCTGAATTGAATTATCCTATGTCCTTGCTCCCCGCCCCCCCCCCCCCCCCAGTGCTTATCATCTAAAATTTTCCATTTTCTGCCTCAGAACATCAGTAAAACAAAGAAAAGAACTTCCCTAGAGCGAGTGACTTTTGCCTATATATCTCCAAGGTGCAGAGTCATACTTAGCACACAGCCGGCGCTTGCTAAGTGTGAGTGATATCTGCCTGAGCTTCAGGCAGAATATCATGTCATTTTCCAAGGAAAAAATACAAGAATTTCAGAAAGTTTCCCAGGTCCACAGAGTGCTTAGCAGTAGAATTCGGATCACCTCCAAGGCTGTCTCTAGAATCTTTCTGGTCCATTAGTTGGCTGAAGGAAGAGAAGCTGGAAATAATGAGCTCATGGGAATCTGCACTATCGATCTATGTTTGTAATCATTTGTGTATTTATGTGAGCTGGCTCATCCTGGCTGAATTTTCAGTTTCTGTTCCATCCTGCTCAATTTACTTCCCTGACTGACCTCTCAACTCCCTGCTGGATGTGTGCTTCTTCCGGGGTGGCCAGGTGGGCATCTGTGGCCACCCCGCCTGTCTAAATCGCACAGCAATAAGCAACCAAGTTGTCATGTGGAATGTTAACACAGATGTTTAGGATGTTCATGGAGACATTAGAGTAATCACCTCTTCTTTAAATACAGTTACTAAAGCACAAGCAGTTATCTACTGCACATGCTCAGTATATCCAGAAGAAAATGAAGCCATTGTTAAGAGAGCCTTGGAGTTGCAGGATGTTGGGATTAAAGTCCAGCCTTACAGGTAAGGCACTGAAGGCTTCTTCCAAAGCCCGCAAAGATTGACAGGGAAAAGTTTATGATATTTTAAGTTGAGTAAAGATGTTCCTTTTCCTGGTAGGTTTGAGTCCCACCAAGTAGTTTTTCAGACTACTAGAAAAGGGGAGGGGTTTTCTAGGGCCTGTTCAGTGGCTGGGCAGGGTGTACGCACTGAGGGACTCTGCTTGATGTAAGGGGAAGGCATTTGGCTTTGACTTGATTCATTTCTGAAAAATTGGATCCACATTTTATATAGTTCAAGTTAGAGAAACATATATTCCCCATAGAAGAAAAATCAGGTATACAAAATAACCTTGTAAAGGAGAGGGTAGGGCCAGGAATGTGACTATACATAGTGGTTGAGTACTTAGCTTGAGCTCCTGCCAGCACCTCATGGTCCCCGAGCACCAAGCTGGGAGCTACTCCTGAGCACCACCACATGTGGTCCCCAAACAATACCAGTGACAAAAAAGGTAGAAAACTGGATGCCTAGGATCTGAAGTGCACATTTCTTAGATCATTTTAAAAAATTTTTTTAATGAAACACCATGAGATACAATTACAGACTTACACACTTTCGTGATTGCATTTCAGTCATAGAATGGTTGAGTACCCATCCCTCCACCAGTGCCCATTCTCCACCACTAATGTTCCCAGTATCCCTCCCGCGACTCCCCCTCCCCCCACCCCCTCCCCTCGCCCTCACCTTTGTGGCAGGCACATTCCCTTTTACTTCCTCTCTCCTTTTGGGTATTATGGTTTGCAATACAGGTGTTAAGTGGCCGTTGTGTTTGGTCCAAAGTCTACTTTCAGCAAGCATCTCCCGTCCCCCACCGAGTCCTCCAAAGCATCCTTTGCTTGTTCCGTGGTCCCTTCTCTATCTCATCTGCTTCCCCCCACTCCCCAACATGTGAGACTGGCTTCCAAGCTATGGAGGAATCCTCCTGGTCCTTATCTTTACTATCCTTGGCTGTTAATCTCCCATTCTGTTGCTTTATATTCTACAAATGAGTGCAATCTTAGACCTTTTTTTAAACCAACATCTTCAAGCTGAGGTGAACAGAGCCTCAGTGATCTTAGTATCTGGAGTGGAAAGCTATAGCTCAGTAGGGATGAAGAGGAGGAGCAGTAGACAGTGGGCAGCTAGCCCAGGAGAGAGCTACCGCTCAGGTCAGCAGTTCTTTAAGATGCTGATCGTTAACAAGCTATCTAGAAACATCTGCTTTCTATCCAACACTCGTCTGATAAGGGGTTAATATCAAAGATGTATAAGGCGCTGGTAGAATGTTACGAGAAAAAACATCCAACCTCATTAAAATATAAGGAGAAGAGATGAACAGAAATGTTCTTAAAGAAGAAAGACAAATTTCCAAAAGACACTTGAAAAAATTGCTCTACATCACTGATCATCAGGGAGATGCAAATCAAAACAATAATAAGATATCTCATGCCAGAGACTGGCACACATCAAAAAGAACAAGAAAACCAAAAAGAACCCCTGCTGGTGTGGATGAGGGAGAAAGAGAGTCTCGTTCCTTGCTGCTGGGAATGCTGACTGGTCCGGCCTTTTTGGAAAACAATATGGGCATTCCTCCAAAACTAGAAATTGAGCTTTTATACCACCCAACAATTCTGCTCCAGGGAACATACCCTAGGGGCCCAAAAACACAATTCAGAAAAGACATCTGCACTTCTATGTTCATTGCAGCATTATTCACAATAGCCAAAATTTAGAAACAACCCATGTGCCTGAGAACAGATGACTGGATAAAGAAATTATGAAACATCTACAATGGAATACAATGGAATATTCCCTCTACAATGGAATACTCTTCATTTACAAAATACTTGACAAAAATACTTTTGTAAAGAAAAGTGAAGTTGGAGGGCTGTTCCACAGTTGGAAATTTGCCTCGAGTAGTGGGAGGGCAATTAGGACAGAAAAGGGACCACTATGACAGTGATAACTGTAAATTATCACTCTGGACAAGAACTGAGTGCCGAAAAGAGGTACAGAGATACACATAACTTTTCAGTAACAGTATTGTAAATGACACTGCCTTAGAGGAAGGAGAAAGAGAGAGGGGGAAGAGAAGTATCATAGATTGAGGCTGAGGGGTGGCAGGAAGGAAGCTGGGGGCATTGGTGGTGGGAAATGCGCACTGGTGAAGGGACGGCTGTTGGAACATTGTATGACTAAAACCTGATCATGAACAACTTTGTGACTGTGTATAACATGGTGATTAAATTTTAAATAAGAGGAAGATGGAAGCTTTCCAGTGATATCTACTTTCCAGTGATATCTCACGTTCTGAACATGAACATGTCCTGTAGTTTGGCTGGTGATTGTTCAGATTTTGGGCTACACCTCACAGTGTTCAGGGGTTACTCCTGTCTCGTGCAAGGGGTGCTGGTGGTGCTCTAGTAACCATCAAGTGTGGGAGGTCAAACCCAGGTTTCCTGCATGTAAGCATCTGCTCCAGCTCAGGAAATCCTGTAATTTTATAGGGAGTTCTTTTTTTTTTTTTTTTTTTTTTTTTTAGATTTTTAAATGAAACACCGTGAGATACAATTACAGACTAACATATATAGGGAGTTCTTGATATGCGTATGATCTTCCCTCTCCTCTTTTGACAGGGCACACCCAGTGGTGCTCTGGGACTGCTTCCAGCTCAGTTATCAGGGGTCACTCCTGGCAGAGTCACACACACTCAGGAGTCCAGCACGCATAGCATGTGCTATCGCCCTTTGTGCCATCTCCCTGACCCCTGCCACACCCATTACATTAGGTATTTTCCTTTTGCCCTTTCCCATATGGACATATTCATTACACCGGTAATTATTTCTTAACTTCCTTGTTTAGTAGCTCTTGCTAATGGCTAGCAGACACTCAAGCTCATGTTCCGAGAGCTTCTCAACAGAGCATTAGCTAAATCTCCATCCGGTGGCAGAGAACTATTGTTATTGTATATAAGCAGACCCATCTGAGAGTGGATGCCTCCTGATCTCCGTCAGGGATAAGGGTCCTAAAAATATCATAAGGCAAAAATGGAGAAACCCCTCAGCAGTTTATCTCATTAGTCTTTCTTTGAGATTAGCCACAATTAATGATTAGTTTATAATATGGTTAAATAAATGTAACCTGCCCACACAGCAGAGTCTGGCAAACTCCCCGTGGTATACCCAATATGCCAAATACCAGTAACAATGATGGGTCTCATTCTCCTAACCCTGAAAAAGCCTTGAATATGGCACTTTAAAAAAAAACCTCAGGGCTAGGATGAAGAAGATGTTACTGGCACTTGCTCGAGGCAATCGACGAACAACAGGGTGGTCGTGATGATAATGATGGTTAAATACACAAGTAACACTTAAAGACACAAAGACAACATGATCTGAAATTCAAACAAATTGGAGAGTGTAAATTCAAAAGGTTGATGAACTGCCTGTTAGGATGTTCAGTTCTGAATTACGGAATGTTTAGGAACTACTCTCTGTGACCCCGAAGAATAATTTTATATATATATATATATTTTTTATTTTTTAAATTTTCTTTTCTTTTTTTTTAATTTATTTTTTATTAGTGAAACACCATGAGGCACAGCTGCAGATCCACAAATCTTTGTGCTTGGATCCCGGTCACACCACAATCAAATACCCATCCCTCCACCAGTGCCCATTTTCCACTACCATGGATAATATCCCTCCCCCTCCCATCCCCCCCATCCCCCCCTGCCACTGTGGCAGGGCATTCCCTTTTGTTCTCTCTCTCCTTTTGGGTGTTGTGATCAGCAAAAGAGGCATTGAGTGGCAAACATGTTCAGTCCAGTCTACTTTCAACCTGCATCTCCCCTCCTGGGAGGATCCTCCAAACACCCTCCATTTGGTGCTCCCTTCTCTATCTGAACTGTCCTTTCCCCTAGAATACCCGGCTGGCCTCTAAGCTATGGAGTAATCCTCCTGGTGTTGATCTCAGCTATTCTATGGTATTAATCTCATATTTTGTTATTTTATATCCCCCAGATGAATGCAATCTTTCTATGTCTATTTCTCTCTTTCTGACTCATTTCGCTTAGCATGATACTTTCCATATTGTACCACTTGTATGTAAATTTCATGACTTCATCTTTTCTAAGAGCTACATAGTACTCCATCGTGTAGATGTACCAAAGTTTCTTTAACCAGTCATCTGTTCTTGGGCACTCAGGTTTCTTCCAGTTTCTGGCTACTGTAAAGAGTGCTGCAATGAACAAACAAGTGCAGATGTCACTTCGACTACACATTTTTGCCTCTCTGGGATATATTCCCAGGAGTGGTATCGCTGGGTCAAATGGGAGCTCAATTTCTAATTTTTTGAGGAACGTCCATACTGTTTTCCAAAAGGGCTGAACCAGTCGGCATTCCCACCAACAGTGAAGGAGTGTCCCTTTCTCTCCACATCTGCGCCAGCAACGGTTGCTTTTGTTCTTTTGAATGTGGGCCAGTCTCTGAGGTGTGAGATGGTATCTCATTGTGGTTTTGATCTGCATCTCCCTGATGATTAATGATGTAGAGCATTTTCTCATGTGCTTTTTTGCCATTTGGATTTCTTCTTTGAGAAAGTTTCTGTTCATTTCTTTGCCCCATTTTTTGATGGGGTTGGATGTTTTCTTCTTGTGGAGTTCAACCAGTATTTTGTATATCCTTGATATCAACCCCTTGTCAGATGTGTATTCGGCGAATATCCTTTCCCATTCTGTAGACTGTCTTTGTATTTTGGTCACTGTTTCTTTGTAGGTGCAGAAGGTGAAGAATAATTTTTCAGTTCCCCAAGTGATAGAGTTTTGGACTGAAAGCCTATTATATAGCATCAAATCTAAAAACCACCTAAATATTCAGCTCACATAGGACCTACTCTATTATAATACTTACCTTAGGTCTGTACACTTTTTTCTTTTGTCTTCTATTGTAAAAGTTTTGAACATTATAGAAATACTAAGTTAAAAATATTAAATTTGGAACCAGAGAGGCAGTACAGTTGGCAGGACACTTACCTTGCATGTGACTGATCTGAGTTCAATCTCTGGCAACCCATATGGTCTCCTGAGCAAGTGTCAGGAATAATTCCTGAGTGCAGAGCCAGGAGCAACCCCTGAGCATTGCTGGGTGTGGTCCCCAAATGAAAACAAAACATCTCTCGACCAAATACTGGAGAAGTAGAATTGATTATTCATGTGGTAACTGCATGTTCTTTGGTTTGAGAAACTGCCAGACTGTTTTCCAAAATGCTCGCAGCTAATGTTTGGCATTTTCTGACTTCTAAATTCTAGCCAGGCTGGTGTGTGTGAGGTGTTCTCTCATTGTGAGTTTACTTATGTTTTTCTGCTGACTCCTGAGGTTAAACTCTTCATGTGCTCATTGGCCATTTGGACATCTCCTTTGACAAATGTCTGTTCAGCTTCTCCGCTCACTTTTAAGTTGTGTTGTCTTTTTATTGTTGAGTCACGAGACCCTTATGTTCTACATACCAAACCCTGATCACATATACAATTTTTAAGTGTTGTTCCACGTTCTTTGGGCTTCGGTTTTGCTTTCTTGATAGTTGCCTCTGGTGCATAAGAGTTCATGATTTTGGAGAAACACTGGTCTGTACTTACTTGTATATTTATTTTTGTGGTGCCAGGGATGGAAACCAGGGCCTCACATGAGCCGAACAGGTAGGTGCTTTTCCACGGAAAGACTTCCCCAGCCCGATCTGCTTATTACTTCGTCACTTGTGCGTCTAGTATCACACTTAAGAAAGTTACACCAAACCCATGCTTTCTTCAAATCATTTGTATTCTGCTTTTTTATATTTATGCCTTAAAGTCTGATTACTTTTTTTTTGGGGGGGTGGCCTCCCAAGCCATGTCAGTGAGATTTACCAGGCTGACCCTGTGGTACTTGTGGGGGGGAGGGGGCTGTGTAGAGCCAGGTTTGAACTTGGGTCTCCATGCACACAAAACACATATCCCTGGCTTCTGGGCTATCTCCTCAGCCCCTTTGGATTAACTTTTATTTTGGGGTCACACCCAGTGGCAGTCAGGGTTTACTCCCAGCTCTGTGCTCAGGGGTAATGCCTGGTGGTGCTCAGGGGATTTGCAGTGCCTAGGATTGAACCTGAATTGACTGCATGTAAGGCAAGTGTCCTAACCTTGTACCATCTCTCCAACCCGATTTTTGTATTTGAAATGAGGGAGTTGTTTACCGATATTCTTGTACTTGTGGGTATCCAGTTATTTCAGCATCTTTTATTGAATAGAATTGTTCTTTCCATCTCGAATGGTCTGGTATGCTGGTAAAAAAATAGTCGATTGCAAAAAATATATAAAAAAAAATCAATTGATCAGGGACTGATCAGGTAAGGCACATGCCTTGCATGCAGCCGACCCTGGTTCAATCTCCAGAACCATATACAGTTCCCTAGCACTGCAGGAGTGATCCCTGAATAGAACCAGGACTAAGCCATTAGCACTGTTGGGTCTCGTTCTCTGCACCCCAACCAATTGATCATAAATGTATGAGCAATGAGCTTATTTCTGGACCCTCAGTTCTGTTTCATTGACTCATGAGACTGTCCTTATGCAGGTGGACAATTAACACATGAGAACATGCAAATTTAAATTTCAGTACATACAATTAATAAGTGCCTATGTTTTAACTTACATGAAGTATATTTCTTTGTTTAAATATATTTTAACTGTAAAAGCATGACTATAATCAAAATATAAATAAAATATATTAATTAATTTTTATAAATGAGCACTTACTATTATAGGAGAAAGTAAATGTTCAATATAAAAAACCAAGGTTTTGTTTTAAACTTACTAGTGATTATTTTTATTTTTTTTGTCTTTTTAATGTAATTTCTTGAACATTGCAGGACTCATCTATTAATATTCTGAAAATCACTGGGAAGCTGAGAACACAGTATAGATTAGGGCACTTGCCTTGCCTGTGGCCGACTCTGGTTCAATTCCCTGGTTCCACCAGTCTCCCAGCATTACCAGGAGTGATGCTTGAGCACAGAGTCATGCATAATCCCTGAGCATTAGCGGGGTAATCCCCAAACAAACAAAAAAGTGACTGAGAATAATGTAATTCAGGATAGGCTGTATTTTACAACTGCGCAAAAAGTAAGAGAAGGAAGTCGTTCATTTGTGTTATTTTGGGTTGTATCTGGGTGATTTCCATATATCAGTGGAAGTCATTTTGTTACCATTATTGATGAGAAGTTTTTGATTTGTTGGCATGGGGGTTCAGAGCCAGGGAATGCAGGCCATCAAATACCTTATGGGTTTAGATGAAACCTTATTGGTTTTAATTTATAACAGATTTGTCCTACTTCAGCCTTCTACTCTTATTTGGAATTTTTGTTTATTCTATCAGTAAAACATAAGAGAAGATTTGCCATTTCCTTCCTCCTCTTTCGGCAAATAAACTGTTCTAGTAACTGTTCCCTCCCCCCCCCCCCCATCTCTTGCAGACTTAGTCCTCCTGTACTTCCGCTCTGCTCCCCAAAGGAAATAAAATTGTCTACTGATAAATTTTTCAGAATGGAACCATCTGAAACTACCAATGGTTGTTTTCTTTCTGTTCTAACAAGGGAGGTAAGGAGAAAAAACAAAAACAAAAATAAAACTCACTCCATGTTGTGCTTCAGAATTAAGAAGCAACATAACAAACAATAAAACTTTATAAAAGGAACCTAGGAACTTTGTAAATATTTTATAATAGTATGCTTATTCTGTAAATAGCTAAAAGGGCAGGAAGAATAATTATACTATGTTGCAAAACAATCTTTATTTTGGGGGGGGGGCATACTTCTCTGTGCTCCTGACTCTGTGCTCAGGGATCACTCCTGATAGGGCTCAGGGAACCACATGGTATGCAGGGGATTAAATGTGGATTAGCCACATGCAAGGCAAGCACCCTACCCACAGTACTATCTCTTCAACACTCCCCCCCCCCCAAATCAGTTGATCAGGAACTGATCAGGTAAGGCACTTGCCTTGCATGCAGCCAACCCTGGTATAATGTATCCCCAAAGCACATCTTCTGACTGCACTAGATTTAAACTAGAAATCAATATGAAAATTGTATCCGCAAATTTTCCATATACTTAGCAAAATAGCAAGTATTGAAGAAGAAATTTTGAAATGACAGGTTGAAGAAGAAAGAATAAAAGAATAAAATAATAAAAGGAATAAATTATGTAGACTTAACGAAAATAACTATGGCCAGCTCAAAAATGACCACCCTAAAAGGAAACCCACATCCTAATCCTGGGAACCTATTACTATTATCTTATTTGGAAAAAAAAGGATCTCATAGCTGTAATGATTAAAGATCTTTAGACTTGGACATTATCTTAATTATCTGCCTGGGTCCTTGAATTAGTTAATTATGACAAGCTGGAGGTTTTATGCAACAGAAGTCTATCTCATTTCTGAATGCTGGATTCCAATAATTAGGGTGTTGGATACAAGATCAATAAAAAAAAAAAACCAGTTGTATTTTTCTATCCTAATAATGAACAACAGAAGTCTGTCTCATTTCTGGATGCTGGATTCCAATAATCAGGGTGTTGGATACAAGATCAATAAAAAAAAAACAGCTGTATTTTTCTATCCTAATAATGAACAATCTGAAAAGCAAATTAAATTAAGTTTACTAGAGGCCTATTTGTAACATTTCCTTTTGCTCAGTACATTGTGTGCAGTTAGATGGAAACCAATTAATTATAAGACAGCCAGAGTGATAGCAAAGTGCATAGGGCACTTGCCTTGCATGTAGCCCACCTGAGTTTGATCCCCTGTGTCCCATACGGTCCCCCAAAGCACTGCCAGGAGAAACCCTTGAGCACTGCAGGCTGTGCGGCCCCCCCAAAATTAAAAATATTAAAAGAAACAACATAGTAACAGGCAAAAATCACAGACTGATTGGACATTATCAGAGGCACAGTCAAATATGGCAGGGAGGTCACAGTTATGCTGGCCAGCACTAAAGGACAAATTAGAAAACAAGCAAGAACACAGTATAGGAGAATAGGTGAAAATTTGAAGGGAACCCCCCCAAATAACTTGATAAAAAGATACTGTAACAGAAACAAAGGATATATTAATAAACTAGAAATGGCTGTGAACAAAAAATAGTCTCTGAGGGCAGAGAGACAGTATAGCTGGTAGGGCTCTTGACTTGCAAGTAGACATCCTGGCACCTCACCTGGTCTCCAGAGCACTGTTAGGGATAATCCCTGGGCATTGAACCCGGAGCATAGCTGGATTCACCCCCAAAATAAGCAAACAGGTCTTTAAGTTTGAGAATATCTCTATACACATGTTCAAAAAATAAAAAACAAACAGGAAAATGCTGAAAAAAGTACTGAATAGTAATAATAAAAAAAGGGTATGTAAGAGCAATGACAACAGGTGTATCACCTGTGTCATAGGGAAGCCAGAAGATGGGAGAGGGACAGAAGCAATAATTAAGAATTTCTCCTAAGTTATTGTCAAACACCATCCACAGATCTGGAATCTCATAGCACTCTGAAAATAATGATCAAGGGCTAGAACGATACCACAGCGAGTAGGGTGTTTGCCTTGCTCACGGCCGACCCGGGTTCGATTCCCAGCATCCCAAATGGTCCCCTGAGCACCGCCAGGAATAATTCCTGAGTGCAGAGCCAGGAGTAACCTCAGTGCATCGCCGGGTGTGACCCAAAATCAAACAAAACAAAACAAAACAAAACCAAAACCAAAAAAAAAAAAAACAGAAAGAAAGAAAATAATGATCAACAAACAAAACCCCTTCCATGTGGTCATAAAATTTGAAGCTACAGAAAATTAAAGAAAATTGCCTGAAAATAGTAGGAAGAAAAACAGCTTACTTACAAGGAAGCAAATAAAAGAGGGGGGTTATATCTAACTTTTCAGAAACCAGACAAGCAAGAAGAGCATGAAGTGAAATATTTAATGTGTTGAGGAGGGAAAAAACTTTTTAAAATGCCATGAAATCTGTATTCTGTAAAATTAACTTTAAAAAAATGAAGTAAAGGGGTACCGGAGCAATAGCACAGTGGTTAGGGCAGTTGCCTTGCACATGGCTGACCTGGGTTCAAACCTGGGCATCCCATATTGTCCCCTGTACACCACCAGGAGTAATTCCTGAGTACAGAGCCAGGAGTAACCCCTGAACATCTGAGCATGAGTAGGTGTGACCCAAAAAGTTAAAAAAAAAAGAAAAATGCTTTCTCGAATTAAAACTGAAAATATTTACCTGAAACAATTACAAATATTTGTAAATCCAATAAGAAAGTGAACAGCCTATGGGCCAAAGATAGTACAGAGGTTAAGGTGCTTGCCTTGCATTTAACCAACAGAGATTTGGTCCCTGGGAACACATATGGTCCCCTGAGCACCGTTGCATGTGTTGGGTGAGTGTTGTGCATTGTGTGTGCCGCATTTGTTGTATGCATCATCTGTGTTTTGAGTGCTGTTTTGTATAGTATTTGTTGTGTATTATGAGTTTTGTATGTTATGTTTTGTGTGGTTTTTGTTATGTAGCTGTGTTGTTTTATGTAGCTGTGCTGTATAGTGTAGTATATTGTGAGTTGTGTGTTGTGCAGTTGTGTTGTATAGTTGTATGTTGTGTGGTCATATATTTGTATAATTGTATTGTGTACTGTTGTGTGTTGTGCAGCTGTGTTTTGTGTGGCTGTGAGTTGAGAGTTGTGTAGGTGTGTGTTGTCTGGCCATGCCAAACACTGTTGTGAAAAAGCAACTATAGGCAAAGTGCTGTAGTTTCCCTGGTTTCCCCTTAGGGCCCAAATGAGGGAGTTTTAAGTTTGAGAAACATCATTTGCTGAGTGAGGCTTTGCTGGGACCTAAAGCCCAACCCCCCCGTTTTCAGTCTAATGGCCTTAGCTGCTCACTGCCACCCTGATAAGTACTTGCAATAGGCTGGTCCTCTGCTCCCACAGTCAGTCAGTAACTGCCACTTTCGTTGTAGCGCGATCCATCAGAGACGGTGTCGGTGAAAGACGTTTTGGCCCGCGCTGCAGCGAAGGGTCTCCTGGAAGGGATCGAGTTGGGCAAATCGTCAAAACGGGAGAAGAAGAAGAAAAAAGCCAAAATGACCTTGCCCAAAGCTCCCAGTGTCGATATCAACATCCAAACCAAAATCATTGAGTTCCTGAACCGAGAGAGTGGCGTGAGTTCCAGTCACCCAGACAGAACGACGGCCAAGGCCTTCCCGCAGAAACCCCCCAGCCAGGTGGGCCCTCCCTCCCAGCCCCGGAAGCCCAAGCCGGTGCCTGCTGCAGTCAGGAACCCGCCCGCCTCCAGGGCCTATGACCGGCAGCAGCCCTTGGTGAGGTCCCGGCCCATGGATGGGATGGTGGCCCTCAAGCCCGTGGAGATCGTTTTGCCTCCAGTCGTGCTGCCCTTTTCCAGTTCCCCTGCCACCAGACCTCATTTCTCAGGTCAGTCGTTTTTCTATCCCTGGGGTAGCTCCAAGATCGGGTCCAAGACTCCTCTTCCTGGCTACCTTGCCACATCAACCGGAGGCAGGAAGGGGGAAAAGCCCAAGGAAAACTTACCTGCCTCCCAATCCCAGAGGCCTCAGCCCTGGCTTTGACCGCCACGTGTGTTCTTAGCAGGGGCCAAAGAGCAGCTATGTTTAGAGCCTGGTTTGCCTCTGAAGGCGGGACATCCTATACAAGGCACCCCTCCCTCTGCTTATCTGGCATCTGCTAAGTGTGGTAGCACCCTCACCGGAACTCAAGGCAAGTGAGAATCAATAATGTAGGTGATTCAGGATGGCAGAATTCAGAGATTTCAGCAGTGTGGGGCTGATCTCTTCGGAAAGAAACAGCTGTAAGACTTGGCAGCTGTGAAAACTTGCCTCACTCTTGTCTGGACGTCGGACACCTGTGTTAAAAAGCTGCAGCCATTTGTTCTTGAAGGGAAACCATGTCTGCCTTTGAACAGACTTGTTCACAGACTCGATTTTGTGAGGCAGCTCACTAAAAAGCCCGGGTGGGTGAGAGCCTCTCGCGCCAACTTCGAATTGCTCTTCAGTAGCTATCATATCGCCGGTACTTTTTTTTTTTCAATGTTTTCAACCATAACCAAGGTTGACATTTGTTTAAATATATTCTCTAAATGAGGTGATCGGGGCCTGGGGGATGTAGCCTAGATGGAGTTTGAGGAAGAACAGGGAGTCCCAAAGTTTCTGACATGACAATTCCACGGGCACAGTCAGGTTTCTCCTTGGAGGAGCTTCAAGAAACCGAGCAGGTGGTATGGAATCAAAACACTCTTGTAAAAAAAAAGTGATTGTATGCATATTTCCATCTGAATGATAGTAATTTTGAGCAGGAATCAAAATCTGTTAGGCATAAGTGAGTCGAAAAAAACCTTTGAAGACATCTGCTTCTTTTCAAAGATCAGGTGAAAAGACTTGAGCTATACAAGTCATTTCAAATGGCACACAGCAATCACACTTTGGATAATCATTTATGGCACATAATTAAAATATACCTGTAGCACAGTGTTAACTAAATATTTAGTCAATTCATAAAGTTTTAATTGCCTACTGATTTTTTGATCATGGCAACAGAAATTTCCATTAAACCAGTTACAACTATAAATCCTATTGTTTAAAAAAAGTTCATAGACACATTCACAAAGTTTAAATTTAAAGTTCTATTTTAGAACCCAGTGTATTGAGAAGTGTTATATGGATTACTCAATGTTCAGTTCAGGTGATATGGTTTTAGCAGGATAAGTATTAAGGTCTTTAGTTGCGCTACTCGTTGAGGATAAAAAATGGTAAATTTGACTAGTAATGATACATTTTTGTTTTAGTTGAAGATTTAAATATTATGTTTGTTTTGGGCCACACTTGGCAATGCTCAGGGGTTACTCCTGGCTCTCCACTCAGGAAACTTCTGCAGGTACTTGGACGACCGCATGGGATGCCAGGGATGGGACCAGGATTGGGAGTGTGCAAGGCAAACACCCTAACCACTCTACTTCCACTCTGATCCCTGAAGATTTATATTTTATCAGTAAAACGTTCAGTGAGGAAAGTAAGACAGACACTTAATATTTGAATGGAGCTTTTTCTATTTTAAATCCCCAAAGAATTTTCGAGTCTATGTTGTGGTCTTGGCCCCACCCCCCACCCTTCACTTCCCAATTATGAGGGTCTCCCCTTCCACTGTGGCTTAGCTCTCGGGTAAGTGCAGTTGAATTCAACTTGGGTCAATAAAGTGCTGATATTGTCTTCTTTTTATAGGGGAGTGTTTGGGGTTCACACCTGCAGGTACTCGTGGGTCACTCTTGACAGTTGGGGGAACCACATGCAGTACTAGAGATGGACTTGGGTCCAGTCAAGTGGAAGGCAAGCACCTCATTATGTTTCTGCAACCCCAAAGTATTAGTGTTTTATTACAGGATTCCTGCCCTCTTCCTTCTGCCTCAGGTCTAAAGGATTCCGCTGTCTGAAAGTGTGAGATACTTATTTTTGTGCTAAGTTACAAAAGGCAAGCTGCCCTGTTTCTGTTCTGACCAGGTCAGCATTTCTGGTCCCTACAGCTGCACACGACCCACATCATAACTGTAGCCACTGATTTTTTAATCTCACGATACACGGCTTATCACTACATAATTTGTCTCTTTAGAAGTATATGGATCTTCCAAGTTAAACCAAATCATCTAACCTTCTCCTTTAAGAATCTGCTTAAAAGGACATGATTCACATGGCCTTTATGCAAACAACCTGGTAAGAGTAAAAAGGGGAAAAATACTTTGGATTAAAGCATCGTGCAAGAATTCCCATGAAAAACATTACACTGACTTTTCTCAAGTTTTTTTAAAGTGTTGTAAAATTTAGAATGAATTAACTGGTGTTTATATTAAATGTTAAGTGATTCCCCAAAATAATGAAATCTTATTCCTTGAGAGTAAAGGGAAAAATAGGAGAAAAAGTGTGTGTGTGTGTGTGTGTGTGTGTGTGTGTGTGGTGGGCACATCTATTAAATTCTACTCTTCTGTTAGTCTAAATTAAACCAGACCACAACCAACTGGTTTATTTTAATTTAGTACTGGGTCAACTCTGTTCTGCAATCATATCAGATTCTGAATGAATGAAAGATTACCTTAACACCAGGAAGACTGCTGATGGTGACTAAATTCTGTGTTCAGAATGGCAGCTGACCGTGACAAATCCCTCAGAAGCCACGCACCACAAGTTAGACCTATCAAATAACCTGTCTTGCCTTATGAAAGTGAGTTTTTCTGAAAAAGGGTTGTGTTCAGAAAATTTGGCAGTGGCTAGCCTGGACACAGGTATTCCTGTCCCTGGAAACAGGATCGAGAGGTCAGAGAAACGAGCCAACCATTTTACGCAGCTAACTTTATTCTCACAACAGATTACACTTGAATGAATGAAGGTGGTCGACAGCACAAAGGGAAAAAGGGAAAACCAATAGTTTTGTGGGGATCAACACACTGCTCAGGATGGCAGGGGGTGCTCTCCTTGACACACAGCATCAGCGGGACCCTCAGCTGAAATAAGCCATCCCTGCCTGGACCCCGTGTGTGGACTGCATCACTAGGCTGAGCAAGCCTGGCAGGTGAGGGTTCGAACAGCATCACCGGTCAAATGACCCTCTTACAGGGTGAGGGAAATGTTTTCCTGTTGCTCTCGAAACCTCGGATCTATCCTATAAAGCGTATGAAAGGAGTGTGTCAACCGAGGAGAAAGATGGAAGGGCTTCTTTCTAGAACATAACCCGATACAGGTTCGTCAGTGACCGTTCATCCTAAAATCATGAAGTGGGTGTTTAATTTTCTTGTAAGTATCAGTGCCAACAATTTATCGCCAAGGACTTCTTTTCATGGAAATGGGTCTAGTGTCCCTTTTGCACAGGACAGACACAAACAAAAACCAGTGGCAGTCACCCCATCTGGGGGGGCTTGCCAGATGGGGCCAGAGAGCACTTGTGTTGGTCTCTGGCAGAGTGTGTGTGAGGAAGGATCTCGGATGCAGATCACTGCTTCATGCTTGCAAAGGAAAGTTCTTGGCCACAGGCATGTCGGCCCTTCCCTTGATGCTGCTGAGGAACACACGTAGAAGGTGGCAAGTGTACATCTAGCTGCTTTTAAAAAATAAAAGGGACTTTTAAGCGTTTTGCCATTTCTTCTACATAGTCCGATAAAAAAACGTGACTACAAATCATTACAAAACCACCTTGTAGTCAATGTATATATATATATAGTTCACTGAGATTACTTATACCTGGACACATTGTGAGAGAATATCCAGCAAAGATAATACATCAACACAAGAATGCAGTATATTTCAGTAAAAATAGAATAAATAAAATAAAAATATCTTAAGCTGTATTTAACAGGTTAATTAAAAAAATGATAAGACATACAAGGCATTGTGAACATGGCTGCCTGTTTACCAATCACAGATATAAAGAATGCATAGATAACTCAAGTGTCACTACAATATCAGGTAAAACACTGGCATCCTTTCACAGAGACACACATACTTTTCATACATACTTTTTTGGCCATGGCAGAAAGTGTCTGAACATACTGTTTAACAGAATTACTTTTACAAAATTAATTGCATTTAGTATGCAAAGCTATTTTCCAAACAAAATATATGCAGTTCGGTTTTCAATAGGTAAAGGCTATATCATTCATCATAATGCATCCTGTAATTGCATATATAAGTCAGTTTGCTACTTAAAGCGAGCTCAGTATTCTTGATCCTGAAAACAAATGAACAAAGGCCTTAAAGAAGGAACAGGGGAGTTTTGGTAGCGATTTCCACTCTTGAAAGTAGATGGTTTGTCCAGAATTTTGAGTTTATCACATTAGCAATGGGTCACCGCAGAGACCAAGACCATGACAACTGACCATTGAAGGACTTTCATAGGGCACAGGAAGGATTTTAACGCTAGAATTCCTTCCAACGGCACCTGGGACCTTGAGTAAGACAGAGGCGGGAAGTACAACTCTCTCAAGTGGCATCTTTTGGGTTCATAATGTAGGCTGTCAGTAAATGACTCCAGGATTCTGAGAGGGAACAGAGGGCAGGGCTACTTGGGCACCCTACTGTCTGGTAGCCAAGGACCCAGAATTAGGAATCTCTTCAAAGGGAATGTGATGTTTCCATGGGATTAGCTCCCGGGTCCATCTGTCCCCTAACACATGAAGGCAGCACACTCCAAGAAAACTGCCCTGGGCTGTCAGCATCAGGGCGAGGGGTTTATTAAACCAACCATGTAAGGAATCTGGACAGGTTTCCCTAGGAGGCTGGGAGAGCAAAGAGTGTATCTGGCTGTGCTCAGAGCCACTCTGGAAAGATGCTTCCGACCAGGTAGGTGTCCAAGCAGCCCAGTAAGGCAAGGACCACAAGCTGGGAAGCCAGGCTCCTTCGTGAGCTCTCAGACTAGGAGATGCTGTGTAGTACTTCCCTTTCACAGATGTGCCAGGTCCACCCTTGCTAAGGCTCACACTGTGCTATGAATGAAGAAACCATTTCAACCAGCATACAGCAGTGGGAGAGACCTCCAGCATTTACTTTCGTAGCTGGTTGTGGCAAAACGTTCATCCTGACCTAACAAAAGCCAATGACAGATAATTAGATTATGCTCTCTCTGGCCCCTTCCTTTTATTCGTTTTTTACTTTTTGGGTCACACTCGGAGTTGCACAGGGGTTACTCCTGGCTCATGCACTAAGGAATTACTCCTGGCGGTGCTTGGGGGAACATAGGGGATGCTGGGAATTGAACCCTGGGTCGGCCGGGTGCAAGGCAAACGCCCTACCCGCTGTGCTATTGCTCCAGCCCCTGGCTCCTTCCTTTTAAAACAGCATTGTCAACTGGAGCTTAAATTTGACTTATCCTTATAGCTCCATTTCTTATCTGGATAGAGAAGATCAAGGAAATGTGTCGTGGCATCCAGTGGTGAAAGAGTCCGTGATTCCTATGTATATATCTCAGTCTGAATAGGAAAGTTTTAAATCTTGAAAAGAAATGAAAAAAATATATAAATTAAAAAAATATATCTAGTTTAACCAATCCTGCTAACACAGACATACATTTAAGGACAGTTTCAATAGGATATAAACAGTTGCCATGGACAGTACATGGACGGACAGACAGCTTTCTGGGCAAAAAGCAGTTAGGGGAAGATGGAGCTAGATGCAGAACCCTGGAGGAACATCTTCCTAGGAGGCAGATCAACAACATACCACGGTGGCGGTAACCTAGACTAGAAATGGCATGTCCTCAATTCCAAATTGCATACTGGCCAAGTGGGGTGAACTGAGGATGAAAGGCTTACGAGGACAATTTTGTTTAAATGTTGTTTGTGTGGAGAATGGCCATGTGCAGTGTTAATTCTCTAGCTGCGTTGTACAATATAAGGCAGAAGTTTGAAACATGTCCCATCCAAAATGCACACTATGATCTTTGCGAATCTTTCATTAATGGTCCATTGAAAACCCCTCTGAAAAGAAAGGTTTATTTTGAATTCTTCCCACCCACCCCCGTGTGTGTTCAATTTTTTAAGTCCTCAAATTCAGTCTGTGTTTCCATTCTGAAGTCGCACTTGTCTCCACCATCCCACAAAGAGCTGCAGAATGAAATGTCCCTATGTCGTGAGCACCTCACGCAGAGATGACAGTCGTGTTTTCATTCTGACACCAGCAGCTGATGCTGTGGACCCAAAGGTTCCATTTTCTGAAAGACTTGGAAGAATCTGTCCTTCTATCCCTCCCCAACCCCCCAATGGTTCAGCGGTGTATCTGGTGTTTGCAGTGTCTGACTCTGGTGTTGGGAGCAGGGCAAGGGGCCGTAGGGCTGGGGTTTGCTTGTGATGGACCCCTCAGAGGCCGGAGGTCACTGTGGGGCCTCGGCTCCAGCTCTTGCAGGAAGGGGAACCCTCTCTCTTCCCCCTCCCCCTGCTACCTGTGAAGTTCGTATTCCCGATATTTACAGTAAAAGCCCTCCCCTGCAGTCACAACGTCACAGGCCGCAACAGAATTAGCCATGCTCCTTCCCAGATGGCGCGATGGTGGCAGGACGAGAGAACATGCTTGTCTCAGACCTGGGCCGGAGAGGGAGGTTCTCTGAAGGCTGGGCGCCGGCCATGGGAGGCCAGGCCGAAGCACAGCCGCGTCGGGCTTCTCCAGTGCCGCCACGTCACCAGACCCCACTGGAAGTTAGGGCGTGTCTGGGATGGGGCGTTTCTGTTTCAAAGTGTCAATGAGGGATAAGACCCCACGTTTCACGTTGGTTGTGACTCTTCGGGTGACCGAGTCCACTGGTGGTGGAGGGGGGCGGACTTTGTGTGAGGGCGGCCTGGCCACCAGGCACTTCTGGTACCGCAGCTGCAAGGACAGGAAAAGGTAGTCAGCGCCCCTTCTTGAGAAATGCAGTTTCGCTGTCATCTGACGCCCCCCCCACAGATGACCTGTAATTTGACACACCCCCACAGGTGACCCATAATCTGACACCTTCCACAGGTGACCCATAATCTGACACCCCCCACAGATGATTCATAATCTGACACCCCCTATAGGTGACCCATAATACGACACCCCCCACCGATGACCCATAATCTGACACCCCCCCACAGATGACCCGAGCTTTTAAGTGGTTCTTTTTTTGGGGGGGGTGCACACCTGGTGATGCTCGGGGCTCACTCCTGGCTCTGCGCTCAGTGACTGCTTACTGCTTCTTGGTAATGCTTGGGGGGAGGTGCTGGGGATTGAACTCGTGTTGCTTCATGTGAGGCAAGCGCCCTCCCCTGCTATATTATTGCTCCGGCCCCTCCAACTCTTAAATGTGAAGCCAAGGTTGAACTCCTTCCTCTCCAACCTTTTCTTGCCTCTACCTCCATCTTCCCCCTCTGTTTTCTGATCACTGGGCTCTCCTGGTCATGAGGCGAATGAAAAGGAAAGGGCCTGGGAGAGGATGATTCACCTGGGTTGAGAGGCCTGGGGGAAATGAGGCTGTATCGTATAGGTAAAAAATCTCAGACCAGGCTTCCAGGCAAGCCCCCCTGCATCTCAGTGTGTTTAGCTATAAAAGGGTGGATGAACTAGGGCCTTTAGTTTGGGGGTCATGGCCAAAGAATGCTTGTAGAAAGTCAAGCACAGAAGTCAGCCATGTGCGTTCCCTTCCTGATTCCCTGCTTCAATAAAAGATGCTGAATTTAGACTGCAGAACACATGAACACATTCCACAACTCTAAATCCCATGGAATTGTTTGTTTCTGGGTCACCTCCAGCTGTGCTCAGGACTTATTCTTGGCTCTGTGCTTGGGGTTCACTCCTGGCAGGGCTTGGGGTACCACATGGGGTACCTAGGATCAAACCCAGGTTGCCTGTATGGGTTCAAAACCTTACCAATTGTACTGTCTTTTGGGCACTGTCTACAGTATCACAGGTAAGGCATTTGCCTTGCACGTGAACAACCTGGGTTCAGTCCTCAAACCCCCTGAGCCTGCCAGAAATGATCCCTGAAGAGAGTCAGGAGAAAAAGCTGTGAGCACAGCTAAATACGGTCCTAGAATAAAAAACAAATCACCCGTTTCTAGTCTTCAGAAACAGAAGACACTCTGCCCATTTTCATATTGATTTTCATAAAATGACAATGATTCACTGTCCTCCCGTTGTTCATCAATTTGCTCGAGCGGGCCCAGTAATTTCTCCATTGTGACAATTGTTACTGTGTTTGGCATATCGAATACATCACGGGGAGCTTGCCAGGCTCTCCTAGAGGGGCGGAGGAATCGAACTCGGGTCAGCCATGTTGGCCGCTTGCAAGGCAAACACCCTACCCACTGTGCTATCGCTCCAGCCCGACAATGATTAAAATTCATCAAATGTCACCCCCTTTACTCTTCAACCTTGTTGTCAAACACTTTAAAACAGAACTATGGCTGATTTGGGCTGGAGCGATAGCATAGTGGGTAGGGTGTTTGCCTTGCACGCGGCCAACATGGCTGCCTCAAGTTTGATTCCTCCGCCCCTCTCGGAGAGCCTGGCAAGCTACCGGGAGTATCTCGCCCACACGGCAGAGTCTGGCAAGCTCCCCGTGACGTATTCGATATGCCAGACACAGTAACAACAAAGTCTCTAATGGAGATGTTACTGGGCCCGCTCGAGCAAATCGATGAACAACGGGAGGATAGTGACAGTGACAGTGACGGCTGATTTAACTGGTCTTAAAACTCAAGTCGGTTCCTAGGTACAGGCATAAAACAGTGTTTATCCCCACTCCCCCCGCCCACCACCACAAGAAACAAATTCATTGGCTGGAATGATTGCACAGCAGGTAGGGCATTTGCCTTTGCACAAGGTCAATCTGGGTTCGATCCCTTGCGTCCCACGTGGTCCCCCAAGCACTGCCAGGAGTGATTCCTGAGTGCAGAGCCAGGAGCAACCCCTGAGCATTGCTGGGTGTGGCCCCATCAAGAGAGAGAATGACCCCATGTCATAAACTCACGTTACAATGTCATTGGTCCACCAAGCCCAAAACTAACCCCTTTGTATGGGGAATATCAAATGCCCAATGAAAACAGAAACGAAGAGCAGGAGAACTATTCTTCAGTAGGCAGCTGGGCACTGGGGTGGGGATTGGTGGGGGAGTACGTTAGGGAAGGGAATACTAGGTCTATGGGAGAGTGGAAAGTGTCTGCCACAGAGGCAGCTTGGGGTGTGTGTGTGGGGTGGGAAGCAGAGCAGGGGAACTGGGGACCCTAGTGGAGGGAAGTGAACACAGGTGAATGGTTTGGTGTTCACTGGAACAACGGACATCTGAAACTCAATCATAATATCTTTGTAACTTTGTAGTTTCACGGTGATGCAATAAAAACAAACTAACACTAGCCCCTTTCAACCCAATCATGGGGAAAAGAATCCGCACAGAAGTCCTCTGTGGATACTGCCGGTTCTGAACCACACACTTCAAGCATGGTTTTAAAACAGGCAGGAGTGTCCATGTGGAACTCAGGCCTGGGTGTTTGTAATGTAATTTCTGCATAACTGAGAACTCAAAGTGTGTCTCAGTGAAGTTCATGAAGTAGTGCCCCCCCCCCCACTTTTTGGTCTTTTTTGGGTCACACTTGGGGATACTCAGGGGTTACTTCTGGCTCTGCACTCAGGAATTACTCCTGGTGTTGCTCAGGAGATCCTAGGGGATGACGGGGATCGAACCTGGGTTGGTTGTGTACAAGGCAAACACCCTACCCGCTGTACTATCATTCTGATCCAAGACCTTCTAGTCTTTTAAATCCGGCCAAAATACCTGCCCCACTCATCTGCACTGTATCTCAGCACTCAGGAGGTCCAAAAGAATGTGTGAGTGCCGCAGATTTTTCTGATGGAATAAACTCATGCAGAGATGTTTCAGATGGGAGAATTATGCAGATCTGAATGAGAGGCCTGGCTCTGCACCAGAAATGCAGAACTCAAGAGTATAAAGGAAGTCTAATCCCCCCCCCCCATCCTGTTGTTATCAGCTTATTGGCAGTTTTCCTTCCAGTCGATTGATTAGGATGCTTTCTTACTGGATTAGAGCCACTTGAGCTGGCTGCCCTAATACAATTAACATAGTAAGCAAACGAGTGAAAAGGGCTCCTACGATCGAAAATATGTCTGGAAATCAGAAAACAAACTGGAACCAACGATCAAGCTGATTATCTGGTCGTCAGCAGTGTATAATTAAGGCGGGAAGCCATTCATTTCAGAGCTAAAACCATCTGTTTGGGGTTCTTTTCAATTTCATAAAGTACTTAAATAGTCCTCCTCCACATGGGCTTGACAGGCATGCCCATTTTCCACTCCTCTCTCAGCCACCTCCTCCCCAGTATCCCTCCCCCTCCCCCAACACACACTCAGCCCAGCCCACTCATATCCAGGCAGTCTCTCTGCGACTCTCCCCGTCCCTTCTGTCCATGTCAGGAGTCTGTGGAGAGCAAAGTCCGGTTTGACTCTCCTCTCTTTCCCCTCCCGCTGCCATCGTCCATTCCACTCTGGCCCTTTCAATCTAGCTACCAAAGTTACAGCCAAAGCAAACACATCCACGCTCCATCTGCTTGCAGCAGAACCGTCCATCCCTCAACTGCCCGGGCCGCCCCCCAATCTTGGATCCTCAGCATCTCTAAGGGCTGCCCAGGGTGACTCCCGTCCAGTGGGGCAAATTAACCCAACCTCAGGCAGCCAGCAATCCAAATCCCCCCACCGACAGGCACTCTGCCGCCTTCGAGTCCTTCTCTCTCAGACCTCTGCTTCCACCGGTCCACTCAAACCACTGTCCATTCAGTTCTACTGTTTCCCTGGGTGGGGTAGGGGGGAAGAGAACAATGAGCCCCGCCCTGTGGGGTTCAGAATTTACTCCTGGCTTTCATTCACTCAGGGATCACTCCTGGTGGGAACTGGAGGACCATATGGGGTGGCGATCAAACCACCTGAGTTGTCCTATCTATTGGGCTCCCACCAACTCACATGTTTGGGGGTCTCCCTCTCAATGTTCACGGGACCTGAGAGGGCCACTCCCAGCAATACTTGGCCAACTGGGCTCGATGGCGAGGGTCTGGGGACGCAGCACTGCCTGGACCCCATGGCGACGGGGGTCACCAGGGCCACCCTGACAGTGTTTGGGGTCTTGGGGGGGCCACACTGGTCACGCTGCAGAGCTCTATGGTGCTGGTGATTGAACTGGGTCCAGCCGGTGCTAGCATCCCAGCACACTTTTATTGACTTTTTTGTTTTTGGATCTTACCCGCAGTGCTCAGGGGGTACAGAGGGTGCCAGGGGTCACACCCGGCTTGGCACCTACAAGGCAAATACCTCACTCTGTGCCATCTCCCCAGCACACTTCTGCAGCACTTTCTCTAACAGAAATCTGTGTGTGTCTCCTCTCGTTCTGGGCTGCGTGACCCAGGAGCACCTGAACCTCGCCATGCCTGGCTCTGATGCTCCATGGCGTCCAAGGGCTTTGGATTTGGACTTCCCCTGCTGAGAGCCAGGGTAGTCTCTGGAGCAGCGGCTCCAACTCATCTGGCCTAGCTACTATCCCTTTTTAGGAAAAAGGAAAAAAAAAGATATCCTCCATTTCCCCCAAATCAACCTTCTTTCAGCAAACAGAAAATACTCCCCAACTGCACCAGAGGCTACTACTGCCTGCACCTCTCTGGGGTCTTCCCAGGACCCCCAAGGCAGCAGCATCCACTTGGGGGGACACCTCGAGAACATCTCGATCTCTTGCCTCTGCCCCTTTCCTGTTGCAGATGCCCTGAGATTTTTTTTTTGGGTCACACCGGCGATGCACAGGGGCTACTCCTGGCTCTTCACTCCAGAACTACTACCTGGCGGTGCCCGGGGGACCATATGGGATGTTGGGAAATGAATCTGGTTGGCCACGTGCAAGGCAGATGCCCTGCCCATGGTGCTATGGCTCCAGCCCCACCCTGAGACTCTTATCTGGGCTAGTAAACGGACTCATCTCTCTATTCCTGTGCTTCCATCCCATCCTCCACTTTGCTTGTGGAGGCTGGATCCCCCTAGTCTCATGCTCCTGGCTCCCATTTACATGGCTTTCTCCTGTTGCCCCCTTGGAAGATCCTGGAGCCCCACAGGATTCCCAGTTGAAGACTGTTGCTTTATGTGACCAATTCACTCTCCAGCACAACTGTCTTTGCTGCAGACAAACACGGGCTGGACACTGTAGGCCCTGCTGCAGGCAGAGCATGTGGCTTTCCCTCTAGTTCCAGCAAGGGAATCTGCATTGCTAGAACAGGAAAACAGTGGAGCCTGCAACCTGAGTTCCTGGATTCCATGCCGACCCTGCGTCTGCATGGTGGGTCACCATAAGCAGTGACTGAAGCTCCCTGTGCCTTCATTTCCCTAACGCAAGACAGAGACATAGAGGCAACTGCGGGCCTTTATCAAGGTGACCTACAGCCCCTCTTGCTGCAGCAAACCCCAGGTGCCTCCCCCGGCACCTGCCACCCTGACTTCATTGCTCAGGGATGCCGGGCTACAGACCAGACCTCGCCCATGAGCCACTTCGGGCTCTGCTGTGTTCCTATAGCTCCTAGACTGCTCCGAGGTCTGGCGGGAGAGGACTCAAGTGACTGGGCCTAAGTGACAGGGTCTCTGTGTTTGTGCCACATCACCCCAGGAAGACTCGGGCTTACACAGGTCCGGATACCCTCCACTCTTATGTCCGGGGCCTAGGCTGTCTTCGAAGCCTCTGTTTTCTCATCAGCTAAACAGAACAACGGAGTTGTAAGGATTGAATGAACAGATACAAAATGGGTAAGATCAATGTGCTTAAACCAGTGGAGAGAAAAGCCATTTAAAACACCGAAGTCACGCAATTTGCTGCAACCTGGTGGGAACTGGAAGACTCCATGTTGAGTGAAGCAAGCCAGAAGAAGAAAGAACAACACAGGATGATCTCACTTATTTGTGGTAGACAGGATACTGGATGAAGAGATGCAGTGTAGTAAAGTGGGGAAGCCTAGACTACCCTTTGAGCCCAGTGTTTAGAGAAAGACAGAGAAGGAATGAAATCAAGGGCAGAAGAAGAGAACAGGAAGTTATGGGTGAACAGAGGTCCGGCTTCAGTTATACTGGTGATATGGAAGTATAATTGGGATAGCCATACATCCAGAGCACAAAGGCAACAATACTGAAAACATGAGATCTAAGCTGCAAACACTAGAATTTTGTAATGTGCCTGTCAAGATGACAGGGGTGGGGGTTGGGGGTGGGGAGGGAATCTGGGAACACTGGTGGAGGGAAGCTGACACCAGCGGTGGGACTAGTGTAGAAACATTATATGCCTAAGACTCAACTTTCAATAACTTTGTAAGCAGTTCTCTAATTAAAGCTATTCACTGCATTTAAACACATCTTAGAGCTACTCTCAGTTTGGTGCTCAGGGATTTGATCCCGGTGGTACTTGGAGGACCACGTGGGACAAGGGATGGTACTTGGAGCTCCAGTATACAAACCATGTGCACCAGCCCTCTGAGCCATCTCTCCAGCACTGCATTAGGCGTTGGGCTGGAAGGTTGGAGCTCAGAAGGTTGGGGTGTACGGGCGTCCACCAGCCATCCTCAGCCAACTAGGACCACTGCTCAGTACAAGGGCCTGAGCATTTGGTGTGGCTTGGGCCCTGCAGTATGGGGGATACCCGGACTACCCCAGCATTGCTGGAGGCCCCCAGAACCACACTACTGGTGCTTGGGTTGGGGGGGGCATGGTGGTATCTGATTCCAGGAATTGAACCTGGGTTGGGCACCTTCCAGGCATACACCCTAACCACTGTACTATTTCCAGACACTGCATGAAAAAAAAATAGTGGTAAGATGGCACTAAAAGCCAAACCCAACAGTAATAAGGTGGTTCCAAACAACACTCGTAGCCGGATACTGCGGATACATTCCCTGATCCTGCGCTTCAACAATTCAGGGACCAAGACACTGAATCTGTAAGCTTGTGCTTTACTTTTTTTTTTTTTTTTTTTTTGCTTTCTGGGTCACACCTGGTGATGCATAGGGGTTACTCCTGGTTTTGAATTCAGGAATTACTCCTGGCGGTGCTCAGGGGACCATATGGGATGCTGGGATTAGAACCCGGGTCAGCCGCATGCAAGGCAAATGCCCCACCCTCTGTGCTATTGATCCAGCCCCCAAAAGCTTGAGCTTTTGCAGACCAGCCTCTACTGTGTTACTGCAGTGTCTATGGAATTGAGCTGCATTTGGTCCTGCTGCTTTGCTGGGGGGAAGGAGGAGTGTTCAACCACTGCTTGGTTCCACAGGACAAAGTGGGCTCCCAGCCAATCTGTGCTTTAGACTCCCCCACCATCCCAAGTTGGGAATACTGCCCTAACGCTCGGCATCTGAAAAGGTGTGTGTATAGGAAGGGTGTGGTCCAGACACCTCCTCACTCTCCCCACCCTCCGGCCACGATCACTCACCATGCAGGCAGCCTGCACCGCCTCCGACACATTTCCAGCGTTGGGCTCACACCAGAAAACGTGGCACTCAAAGCGCTGGTTCCCCGTGTCCATGATGAAGGCGAAGGTGTGCGCATCCTTCCCGACACCCATGAAGGAGAGAAACCGCACGCGGCATTCCACCAGCACTTCCTCTTCACTCTGCAAGACCCAGGTTCCTCAGCAACACTGCTCACTCACACGCCCTTGCAGAGCCGTGCCCAGGGTGGCAACGGGAGGGAAGAGGCACACCGAGGTCCCTCCTCTGGCCAGGCAATGGGGCTGCGGGGGCGGGGGGGCTGCAGACAGGGCCGGGGAGAGGCAGCCCAGGCTTCCACCCAGGGTACTGCCAGGCCTCCTGAACCTCACAGGGAGTGACAGCTCCACCCCCAATAAAACAGAGAGCGGGACAGGCTTTAAGTTTCTATTTGTTGTTTTGGAGATCGAACTGAGAGATGCCCTGGGCTTACTCCTGGCTTTGTGCTCAGGGATCACTCCTGGCAGTGCTCGGGGAACCCGGCCAGCTGCTGGGATGGTCATGTGTGAGGCGGGTGCCTTACTCGCTGTCCTATTGCTCTGGCCCCTGGAAGTTTCTAGGCTGTGACTGCCCTGGATGTCTCACAGGTGCACCTGACTCTTGCTCTGAGTTGCACCGTGCCGGGCTATGTGTGTCCTGCCATCTGTCCCTGAGGCATAGTGTGCTCACTCTGGGCTGGGACAAGGTCACTACTGGGCTCCCAGGGCCTCAAACTGGGGGAGTCTGCGGTTTGAGGTCTCAAACTGGCCTCAAAGCTGCAGAGTCACGAGAAAAGGAGACTTAAGCACTCTCTCCATCCTGCTCTTCCCACGCCAAACACTGTTTCTACCTAAAACCACGTTAAGGAAAAAAAACAAACAAACAAATGAAAAAACACCCCAAACCAAAAACCGTTGCCAAGCCAGGTGCTTTGTTTTCACAAACTGGAAACCTGAGCAGGTGGTACAAAGCAAAGTCTGGGCGAGTCACCAAACAAGGGAGGGGGACAGAGGAACTTCAGGATGGGATAGGGGGATACTGGTACCGTGGGTGTCCACACTGCCGTGATGCGAGAGGATGAAGCATCAATAATACCACAGCTGAAAAAAAAATTCTAGCGTCTCAAATTCTTTCCTAGGCTCACACCGTGTGCAGCAACCCCATAGGATGTCTGCAATTGTACACGCATCCGGAAGGTGCATTGACTTTTGGGTCATTTACACCTGGACTTATTCAAAATCCACCGAGGGGGGAAGAAATGGTGTTTGATCCAGATATTCCGCTCTGGAATCTCGCACATTCCAACGTAGGGTGCGTATTTCTTTAACTTAATGGGTTCCCTCCTCTCTCTCTCTCTCTCTCTCTCTCTCTCTCTCTCTCTCTCTCTCTCCTACTTCCTTTTTGTGTCACAAAATAGAGATATAGAATTTGTAGAATTTGAGTAAATTGGATCTAGGTAAGGTTGTGTTGGGCTAGGCAAGAGGCAGAGCCCAGCAACAGGAGGACATGCAGCAATGATGAGGTAAGGAAGGAAGGGTGTGCCAGGCAGGCTCGGTGGGCATCCTGGAGGTGGTGCACTCCTAAACAGGAGCCGGAGCAGTGCCCGTGGCATTGCCTCTGCACGGTCACTGAACAGGAAAGTAGTGGAGTCTGCAATCAGAGCTCCTGGATTCCATGCTGACCCTGCGTCTGCATGCTGGGTCACCTTAAGCGGTGACTGAACCTCTCTGTGCCTTCCTTTCCCTCCTGCAAGACGGAGGCAACTGTGGGTCTTTATCAAGGTGACCCACAGGCCCTGTGCTAGGAGGCCCTGCAGCAAACCCCAGGTGCTTCCCCGGCACCTGCCACCCTGACTTCATTGCTCAGGGATGCTGGGCTGCAGACCAGAGCCCGCCCATGAGGTGCTGCAAGGGGCAAGCTGCTGCCAGCACATGACCAAGATCTGAGCACACAAGGAGGAAAGAACCGGAGCACCAAGAAGCTTCTGAGCCCAGGGACAAGCAATGGTGTGCAGAGACCCACAGGCAGGGGCAAAATTCTTTTTTTTTTCTTCTCTCATGTCTTCTCCCATTGATCACAACTAAGCAGGACACCCTAGAGGTCACTGACGCCTCAGCTCTGCATCTACCATAAAGCCTCTTTTGGTTTGTTCAGGATTGAGCCATACCAGTCTGTGCTTGGGGAACCATATACACTGCTGCATTTAGCTGTGTGCACAGCAAACACTTAACCTCCACGCTCTCTCTCCTGCCCCTAAAATAAATTTTTAAAAAAATGTGGGGGGTCAGAGTGATAGTACAGTGGGGAGGGCATTTGCTTGCATGTGGTTGACCAGGGTTCAATCCCCGGCATCCCCATAGGGTCCTCCGAGCCTGGCCAGGAATAGTTCCTGAGTGCGTATTCAGGAGTAAAGCCTGAGCACCGCCAGGTATGGCAGAAAAAACAGACAAAAAATTGGGTGTGAGCCAAGAGCTACTGGAGAGGCTTGGGGGTCTCTCCTGGCCCTGCCCGGTGACTCTGTGGGAGCTGGGTCTCGTGCATGGGAAGTCTGTGCTCCAGCCCATCAAGTCCCCTCCCTGGACAACTGACGCCCCTTACCTTCTCACCAATGACGGTCACGGTGGCGTCGGCCACGTTCATGTTCACGGATGGCCACTCCTCCTTGTCGGAAGAGGTCATGAGACTCTCTATGGCATTGTTCAGGGTGTCTATCCCTGTGGGCAGACGGGAAGGGAGAAGGGTCTTGAGGCTCTTTATCTCTCTCAAAGCACACCTTGATCACCCAGGAAGAGGTGATCTGCGACCACATTGGTGTTCCATTTCTGGCAGCCCCAGGAGACATCTGACTTGAGCCATTCCTGGCACGGCTGCTGCGTGGGGTCACGGCTAGCTGGACATGGTTCTACTTAGCCTTCCCAGGGTTCCCAGCCCAAGAATCAGCTGTACTCCAGTAACAAGTACTCAAGTACCTCTGCCTAAGTGCATAGCTGATGCGTGGGGTGCCCAGCAGAAGCCAGCGTATGTGGGCACCTCACTCACGCTTCAGCTCCCTCCTCATCTAAGTAAGGCTGAGTGTGGGGGTCGCTGTTACAGAGGAGGGTGTGCAATGTGTGTGGGTCCACGGGCGGGATGCTTCCGCAGCTGCTCTCCCGGGACTGGCAGGCTTACAACTCCACTCTGAGAGGACTCACACAGCACACGGTTTATGTTCAGGAAGCACATCGGTTCCTGTGTCTGATGGCAGACATGTGTCCCCAGTCCCACTGTCCCCACCCCTGAAGGGTGAGCATGGGCTTTGCAGTCATGAGGCCCAGGTTTGATCGCCAGCACCACCAAGCACTGATGCTGGAGCACAGAACTGGGAGCAGCCCCACCAAACGTGGTTCCCCCCCGCAGAAAGCAATAAAGCAAAGCTACCTCATGGCTCAGCACAGTCTGGGGACATGGAATTTTCACACTTCTAATTTTTGAATGCAATTCTTTCTCACACACACAGACACACTCTCTCTCTGCCTACCAGGAGTCCCCTTCGTTTCCTTCTGACCCCTGAGGCCTGAGCAAGTGCTATTTCATGTCTATCGCTAGAGGGTTGCCTGTTGTGGACATTTCCTGTAACAGAGCTCCTCTGAGAACACCTTCATTCACTGTGTCCACAAGGCGCACTCACGGTAAGGCCTGCAGGGGATTCTCATTCGCTGTCCATGCCAAACAAAGCCTTGAGGCACCTAAGTGTCTGTACTTAGCCATTTGCCAGCTGGGAGGCACTTGGGCCGTTTGCAGGCTTCAGCTATGATGGAAATAGCTACTGTGAATATCCGTGTACTACTTTCTGTGGGTGACGGAGAAGTTTTCCTTTTCTCAGGCACATGCCTGGGACCAGAACTTCTGGGCCACTTGGGAGCTCTATGTTTGACCTGCAGAGGAGCGGACAGATGTACTTCCAAAGTAGGGCCTGCATCTGATGTCAGTCCATGAAAGCTCCAGGGCATTTTTCTCCCAATTGGACAGATGCCCGGGATCAGGGTTGGCAGCTCCCAGGAGGTCCCGTCCCCACCCCTGGAAGGCGGGTCTCTGGGCTCATGTCCACTTCCCTACTTGCCTACACATCCACCTGTCGTACTGAGCTCCTTGATCAGAACCAGGAACGGGCTCCATGGACAGGAGGAAGGCAAGGCAAGGCAAAGTGGCGAAACAGGGCAGCCCACCCCTTAATGTGAGCAGATGCCTCCCCCACTCAAGTTTCCAGACATCGTCGGGTGGGAGCAAGTGTTTCACTTACCAACCGGTTTGTCTACAGGTAACATGCCCAGGTACTGCACGTGGAACTTCTGAACCAGCTCAGTCTTTGGCGTTGGAAAGTCTACTACAGGAAGCAGAGAGCAAGAGATGGGTTTCAGGGGCTCGCACACAGGCATCCAGATGGCCATCACGGGTCTGGGGGAGACCGAGACAGCCCCCAGCCACGGCGGCTCATGGCTTCCAGAGGGGAAGGCCACGGCTCTTCTAGGAGACCTGCGTTTCTCACCCTGGTCACTGGGGCTCTCCCTGTGAAATCGCATCCCGTGTTCATGTTTAGAAGGGAAAATGCCGGGACTCTACTTAAGTGGGTACTGTCGCTTTCTGAACTAGTGCTCCCAGCCCGTGATGGCTTACATGTCGGGTGTGGCAGAGGGCCAGAGAAAACAGAGTTGGCATAAAAGGGCTGGTTAGAAAAAACAGTCAACTCCCCCCAAGCACCAGACTATCAATCCGCATGAAAAGATGGATGTGGCTCCACCTGTCAAATCATCTCCCCGGCCCTCTCTGCCTCAGTTCCTTGGGCCAGAGATGTGTTTCCAGAGGGAGTGAACAAGTGGGAATGTGTGACTCTGAATTCTACCTTCGGTTCCCGTAGCTGCCTGAGTAGTGCTGGGTAGAGCCTTGGGGGCCTCCAAGCACTGGACCATCAGGCTGCCCCGGTGGGTAGAGCACGGCCAGTCATGGCTCCAGGCCCCCCAGGATCTCTGAGTGTGGCAGAACTCTATAAAAAAAGAGCTAGTCCTGGGCCTGGAATACAGAGGGTAAGGTGCTTGCATCCCACTGTGCATGGGTTGAATCCCCTGAGCACTGCTATGGGGTCACTCCTGAGCACAGAGCCAGGAAGAGCCCCTGAGCATTGCTGGATGTGGCTCAGAAATCAACTCCCTACCCCAAATAAATAAAGCTGACCCTTGTCCCATTCTACCTCCGTGAATTCCCAAATCCCTAAGATGATATGTTTCCTCTCTGCCCACTGGCAACAATCCCAAACCTAATCCCAATAACATAATCTCTGCACAGAGAGAGTCCAGCAGCCTGTGTGGCTGGCCGAGCTGAACATGGTCATTGTTTTGCATTTTTCCAGTATTTTTTTTTTTAAATTTGAGGCTCCGTGACTTACAATGCTATCAATGACAGGGTTTCATGCACCCACTGTCCCAACTCCACCCCCCCCCACCAGGGTCCACTTCCCTACACCACAGGCCCAGGGTCCCCTCCCAAGCGCCCCTCCACTCCTTGGTGAGTTCCGTTCTGTTAGACCAGTTCTCAGGTTCTGTGGCCAGTTGTTGCTCCCTTCCTCTGTTCCTCCTACCCCACACACGAGAGACCACTCCGTGTCTGAGCCTCTCCTTCTGGCTCTCTTCTCTCAGCACAAGACCCTCCACAGACTCATTCATGCAGAGGCAAACCGCAGGATTTTCAGGAGATTCTAGAAGCTGGGCACCCCCTCCACCCCCCCATCCACGCCCACTGAGAGGTGAGGATGCGAGCTGCCACCACCTACCTTGCAAGGGCATGTCCAGGCCGCTCCTCTCCTGCAGGGCGCTGCAGGCCAGCGCTTTGGCATTCTTCCGCTCGGCCATAATCTGAAGCAAAGAACACACCAATTTAGGTGGGGTGTGGAGGGGCTGCCGACCCCCTGGATATGTGGGAGTCAGTTCGCTTCCGGGTTAAACCAACTGTGGGGTCCGTGGTCCACGAATGTGGCCAGTCCTGGGCAGATCTGCTGGCAGCCCGTGGAGCAAAGGGAGCACATGCCCTTCCCCTGCTCGACCCTGCTTCCAGATGCCCACACCTTGCAGTGACTCTCCCCAGGCCTGGGGAAGCTCACCTGCCCTCCTGTGTCCCCAGTTGCTAGTGGGGGCGAGAGCAGCACTGTCCACCGCGCACCCAGGACGCATGCCAGATGTGAGGGTAAAGTGGAAGCATTGGACACTATTAGCTCCTTTCATTTTTTTGCTTTTTGGGTCAGACCTGGCAATGCACAGGGATTACTCCTGGCTCTGCACTCTGCACTCAGAGTTACTCCTGGTGGTGCTCAGAGGACCATATGGGATGCTGGGAATTGAACCTGGGTGCAAGGCAAATGCCTTACCCTCTGTGCTACTGCTCCAGCCCCTATTAGCTGCTTTTATTCTCCAAGTGTTGAACTCTTTGTCAGCTGTCTTCCAAATTGGCCCTTTTTTTTTAGGGTTACACTGGACAGTGCTCAGGATATATTCCTGGCTTTGTGCTCAGGGATTACTCCTGGCAGTGCTCAGGGTACCATATGTGGTGCTAGGGATTAGAATTAGGGTTGGCCACGTGCAAGGCAAGTGCTTTACTCCTGCATTATATCTCCGTATGCCCACTCCCCCACCCAGCAGTCCTCTACAATCCTCCCTGTGCCTCCAGCCCTTCATGCGTGCCCACCCTCCATGTACACACCCTTTGTAAGTGGTGGACCCACAGAGGGGCACCCTGAGCCCCGCCCCCCCTTACCTTGGAGCAGATTTCGTGGAGACTTGTGGCAATGGCTTTGGCGGGTGTGTCACATCGAAACACATGGCATTTCAAAATCCTCGTATCTTTGTCTCTCGCCACATAGGCAAAATCTCTGTGCGAAGAGAACACAGCAGTCCGTCAGGCAGGGGACCCTCCAGGTGCCCACCCGGCCCTGCCCACACACCCCAGCAATGCACGTTATGAACAGAGCTGGCAGCCAGCGTGTCAGTGGGAACCTCCGTCACTGGTGGGTAAAGACACAAACCACAAACAGAACCCCAAAAGCCACCTAAGCCTCGGAAGCCATCTGATGGGCAGCTGGGTCTGCTGACCTCCTGGAATGAGGAGCCGCTCTGGACGGAAATGGGGTTGGAGAGGAACCGTCCCTCCAGGAAGGTGGCAAACACAATGATCAGTGAGCAGAACAGGAGCACGACACGGGCACACGGCTGGAGCAACATGGCTGACTTGGCATGTGAACAGGAGCACGGAGGATGAGGAGACCCAGGGCTGCAGAGGGCCCCAGGACTGTGCCTGGACCCCTGCCAGCCGCCCTGGAGCCTGGAACCCTCTTCTCCGGGCTCAGCGGCTACCTGCGAGGCACGGCGGCTCATGCATAGTGGGGAGCGTGCCAGCAGGAGCTGGGCGTGAGCACCTGTTTGATGGCAAGATGCTGCCGGGGTCCCGACCCAGCCAATGAAATCTCTCCCTGTCCATCCTGAAGGGTGGGGTCTTCAAGATCAAAGAGTTTGTGAAGAAACAAGCCCTGTCTAAGACTGAAATCGTCCTCGGCGTTGGGTCACAGAGCGGTCAGTGCTGCCTGGATCTGGGGAGAGGGGTCTCCCAAGCATTGATCAGGAGGTCTGGGGGGGTCCCTCCCAGTTAAGTCTTGGCCAGCGGAGTCATGGGCCAATGCCAGGATCCATGGACCGGGTGCTGTCCAGGCCCTGTGCATCGCCAGGGCTTAGCCAGGCCACCTCAGTGGTGCGTGGGGGTCCCTGTGGTGCTAGGGCAGGAACCTTAACCACTGCATTATCTCTGGCTCCAGAGACACTGTGAGGTCTCTGTGAGAGACTGAGATCTCTGGGACTATTCTAAGTCAGCAAGAATCAGAAGATCGATTTCTGTTCATTTTTCTCACTGTGGAAACGGGTAGTCTTTCCACAGACGGGGAGATGCTTTACCCAAGGCGGGGAGCCTGGACCTGCTTGTGAAGGATGGGGTCTAAGCCACTGCGGAGGATGAGGAGACCCAGGGCTCCAGAGGGCCCCAGGACTGTGCCTGGACTCTCACTAGCTGCCCTGGAGCCTGGAACCCTCTTCTCCGGGCTCAGCGGCTACCTGCCAGGTAGTCTTTCCACAGACGGGGAGAGGCTTTACCCAAGGCAGGGAGCCTGGACCTGCTTGTGAAGGATGGGGTCTAAGCACAATATCCTTATCCTGCTTCCCCCATCCCTCATGGCCTTGCCATGCCCTAGGTGCCCCACTATGGGGCTCAGGCCGGAAACCCCTTCACTTGCTTCCACAGACACCCTGGCCTCAGCCTGACCTGTGCCATAGCCCTCCCTGACCCTCTCTTCCTTCTGCATGTTCTGACACTGTTGGGGTCTCCGCACCACCCCAGGAGGCCTTCCCGATTGCCCCCCGCCTCTCTGGGCCTTGTGCACAACCTGGCCTCTTTTCCTCCTGCAGTTTCTGAACCATCTTTTTTGCCAGTCCTGCTGCCCCTCAGACTTGCTCGCCAGGCCCCTGCCCCCCGGGAGGCCCTCCTGGGCCCCTGCTGTGGCCAAGGTTTGGGGCCCGCAGTGCCCATGGAGGGGTCTGTCTTCCCCATGGCTCAAAGATCCATGGAGACCAGCCATGCCCAGCTCACTCTCACCAGTCAGTCCAAGCCTGACCCTCACAGGGATAAACAAAGACACTGGAACGAGAGTGCCATACCCCCTGCCCACCAATATGCTGGTACATGCCACCAGTGGCTCACACTTGATTTTGTGGTTTTCTGGCCACACAATCTAGCCAGGCTCAGGGCTTACTTCCCGGCTCTATGCTCAGGGGACCATCTGGGGTACAGGGGATTGAACCTGGGTTGGTTGCCATGCAAGGCAAGCCCCCAAACCACTGTACTATCCCTCTCTGGCCCCTTGAAGGTGGCTTAGTGAACGACAAAGTCAGAGGCGGCATCAAAGGCCCTTGCTTTCTGTTGGAAAAGCTGGGCCCTGGTCAGCGGGGTAAAGGGCTCCCTCAGCCGAGTGGAAGGGCCCAGACTGTGAGGGGTGAGCACACAGTTGAGCACCTCACTTGGTTCCTGGGGCCCATCTCTCCTGCTCACCATGACTGTGTGGGCCACACAACCCCAGCAAGACAAACAAAACACCCCTTGAAGAGACCAGGAAGAGACCAGGCCACTCCGAAACCCTGCTCACTGCCCCTCCTCTCTCTCTGGCTCCTGGTCCTCTCTAGATGGCTCAGAGAGTAACACACAGGGGGCTCTTTCTAGCCAAATCCATCCTCAGCTCCCATTTTTCTGAGCCAGAATGTCTCCCAGGCCCCACGGCCCCTGGGGGAGAGTCTGGACGTCTACAGTTCCATGCCTCTGCCTCTTCCAGCACCTTCCACTCTCCTCTCAGCGCTATCAAGACAGGGGAAGGGGGGACCTTAGGTTCTCTCGGGGGTCTCCTGCACTGTGTCTGTGGGATGCTGCTCTATCTATTTTACAGGGTTCTGCTCCTAGCTCCCGGCCCCAGATCACTGTGGCTGTTGGAAGGTACAGGCTTACCGAAGAGCTTCATGTCCAGCACACATATGAGCCTAGGCAGCCACACCAGGTTCCCCTTGTGCTTGCACTCTCTGAGACAGGACAGGAAGCCAAAGGCTAACACCAGGCTACTCTGCTTCCATGGAGGACTGAGAACAGGAGCCCCAGGTTTCCTTCTGGGTGTTTCTGTTTGTGGGGGGCAGAGGGGAACTCTCAAGGGGTGCTCTGAGTAAGTCCGGAGGCCCCTCTCAGTGGCTCACCACTTTGACCCGGAGGTGATGGGGATCAACCCAGCCACCAGAGCAGTGCTCAGGGCTCCTTGGGGTCTGATTAGAAAGGTGCTGAGGGAACCACATGATGCCAGGGGTCCAAAGCAAGCAAGAGCCATTAGTCATCCCCATGGTGGCTCTCTGGCCCTGTGCTCATATTCCATGACATAAACCTCAGGATCCACCATGACAGCGGGCCGGCCCAGAGAGAAGAGTTTCAAGAAGGAAACGGGTGCTAACAAATAAACAACGACTTGTTCCCATCAAACCTCCTTGTCGCGTCCCTGGCTTTCAGACATAACCCCTGGAGGAGGAGTCATTTTTCTAAAAAAGGAGATTACTATTCATCTTCATTTTCTCCTGGCTCAGGGGAGGGTAATTAATGGTGAGGGGTGAACATCTGGAACCTGCAGCTTCCCTAAAGAGCCGCTGAACAGCCACAGGCTTTGCTGGGTGTGTGTGTGTGTGTGTGTGTGTGTGTGTGTGTGTGTGTGTGTGTGTGTGTGTGTTGGGGGGTGGTTTCTGGCAATTGCTTTGCACAATCTGGTCCCCTCACTGCCATGGTGCAGGCTAATGGATTACGGAGTGCGGGGTCTGCAAACTCCCCCTCCAGGGGATTCAGTTGCCGCCTGGGAAGAGCACTCTGTCTACTCCCCACCGCGGAGGCTGGCACCTGCAGACTCACCTGAGTGACCCTAACATTGCCAGAAGTCCCAAACACCAGTGGGCACCGGGGTGGCAAGGTCTCTTCCCTAAGACCTGGATCCAATGAGGTCAAGAAGTGCCTTCACGGGGGCCAAAATGATAGTACCAAGGGGAAAGACGTTTGCCTTGCACACGGCTGAGCCAGGTTCGACCCCTGGCATCCACACAGGGTCTTCTGAGCACTGCCAGGAGTGATCCCCGTGCCGTAGAGCCAGGAGTCAGCCCTGACACTGCTGGGTGTGTCAAAACCAACAACAAAAGAGTATTGCCTTTGTGTGCACCATGAAAAAGCCGAAGGTTTTACCATAGGGAATACTCGACATGAAACCCAAACCTCTCGCCTCGGGGTGTCTGAGAAGGTTGACCTTCCGAGCCCAGACTTCTACAAATGCCTACAGTGGCAGAGCGAGTTACAGCCACGAGGGGCATGTCTGAATACTCAGCATTTTGAAGGTTCCCTTCCACACACAGGGAGCATCTGTGGGTATGAGGAAGGAACTGGAGATGGGGCAGTTGGCCTGGCTGGCCTGGAGGGAGGGGAGGTTGGCAAACTCGAGCAGAAGGGCAGGAAGCCACACATCTTATCAGTTAAAGAGCAGCCTTTGAAGGCTGGAAAAGGCAGGCAGCAGACATCCCGTGGGGTCCTCCAGGAGGAAGCCAGGCCTGCCTGCATGGGGGTTAGAGCTGGAAGACTTACTTCAGGTGGGCCACCTCCAGAACTCCGACAGACTTGCTGCGGGGTTCCTGTGAATGTGTAGCTGCAGCTGAGAAAACCAAGGCAGTGGCTAGATTCTCTCTCTCTCTCTCTCTTTCTCTCTCTCTTTTCATTTTGGGTTATACCCAGCAATGCACGGGGGTTACTCCTGGTGGTGCTCAGGGGACCATATGGGATGCTGGGAATCGAAACCGGGTTGGTCGCATGCAAGGCAAATGCCCTACCCTCTGTACTATCGCTCCAGCCCCGGCTAGATTCGCTTTCTGCTGCCCCAAGGCATTGAAAACTGATAGGAAATGGGATTTCAATTAAACCTGCACTAATATGGCCCAGCCCCTAGGACCTGCCAGGGACACAGATGCAAACCCATGCAGGAAGCCCTCTTGCTTAGCTTCCAGGGTTCAAACGAGCTCCCGGAACAGCTGAGCTGTATCTATAGATGCAATGAAGACCTTGCCCAGGTAGGAAAGGGGATGAGTGACTCAAGATTATTTAGATGGGGCTGGAGAGATAGTTCAGCAGATGGGGTGTTTGCCTTGCACACACTTGACCCAGTTTAACTGCAGCACCCCACAGGGTCGCCTAAGCACTACCAGGAGGCATCCGCAAGCACAGAGCCAGAAGTAATCCCTGAACATGCCAAGTGTGGCCCCCAAAATAAAACAA